GGATAAAGTCTGTGATTCTGGAGAATCTGGACTCTGTGATACAGCATCACGTGTCAGTCACCAAGCGCAGAGCAAGCGTTGTGATTCTTTCTCCTCAACAGGAGACTTCTCAGAAAGGGATGTCAACACCGCCCCTTCCTGCAGGCTTCGGCCTGATGGCCGCTCTTGCAGCATCACTTCCCCTTGTTCCTCAGCCAGGCCTTTATCTCCTGACCTTGGACTTGCTCAGTGAGACCACAGGTTTCTCCCCCAACCCCATTTCCTGAGAAAGGGTTTCTCTGTGTAGCCCTGGCTGTCCTGGAGCCCCCTCTGTAGACCATGCTGGCCTTGAACTCAGAGATCTGCTTGCTTCGGTCTCCTGAGTGTTGTGATTAAAGGCGTGTGCTGCCACCGCTGCCACCCAACTCAGATTCTTGTGATAAAGGAAATATCTGCTTTCCTGGTGGTATCAGCTCAGTATACATTCTATAGTGCAAGAAAAAAAAAAACCCTACTGTGATGGTTTGAACACATGGGGGCTAGTGTTTTTCTTTGTGTGTGCAGAGAACAACCTTAGGTGTCATCCCTCAGCTGCCACCCACTTTTTTTTTTTTTTGAGACAAGGTTTCTCTGTGTAGCTTTGGAGCCTGTCTTGGCACTCTTCTGTAGACCAGGCTGGCCTCGAACTCACAGAGATTCACCTGCCTCTGGAGTGCTGGGATTAAAGGCATGCGCCACCACCGCCCAGCATCTTAATTCTACACACATAGATCTTTGAACCCTCATCAGAAAAGTTGTTTCTTGTAGTAGATGGCAATTAACAGAGATTCGTAATTGGAGAAACCTTGGAATGCTCAGCCCTAAGTGGGCTGTTCCATCACACCCCTCTCCTCAAGGCTCAGGGATCTATGTATAAGAGGGGGTAGAAAGATTCCGAAGAGCAGGGTGGTGGTGGCTAACTTCAAGGAAACAGTATTGTCCAGCTACGGCAGGCAGCTGCACATTTAAGCTAACAGAGAGGGTGGCAGGGTGCACAAGACCTGCTCTAGCTCAAGGCAGACATCCCACTATGAAGGAGGGAGGCGGGCACTAAGTCCACTTCTAGCTGAGTGGTTACTGGCTTTTAATTGCTGCTGGAGGAGGGAAAGTCCGTTTTCTTCGATGGAGAGATACCTGGTATATTAATCACACTTCAGGGCAGGTCTGAAGTCCAGGGATAGTCTATTAACATGAACTGGACTTGATGTTTTGTTTTAGAGATGAGGGCAGAATGTAAAATTTGGGAGGAGTTAGGGTAAAGGGAATTCCCAATAAACAAGATATTATTAAAAAAACACTGCCTGTGATGGTGGTGCAAACCTTTAATCTCAGCACTCGGAGGCAGAGGCAGGCGGATCTCAGTGAGTTTGAGGCTACCCTGGTCTACAAAGTGAGTTCCAGGACAGCCATGACTGTTTTAGAGAGAGGCTCTGCCTCTGAAAACAAATACGCATCAACAAATAAAAACACAAACCAATAAAAAACAAAATCACCAGGTGTGTGTGCGTGTGTGTGACTATATTTACATCCCTATACACACACAGGCCATCGGAAAACTTGAACTGAATTTTAGTATAAACGAGAAACTCCCTGATGTCCACAGAGGATGAAACACAGGTCATCTGAAGGTGCTGTATTTGCATATGTGTGGACCAGAGCCAATCCTGTTAGCATCAATATTATGCAATCGTGAAACACCAAATACAGAGCAAGATGGAGTTGGCACAGGAGAGAATAGTAGGGCCACATCAGCCAGGATGCTTTTTTTTGAGACAGTGTCTTACTATGCAGTCCTGACAGCTCTGGACTCTCAGAGATTTGCCTGCCTCTGCTTCCTGAGTGTTAGGATTTTTTTTTTTTTTTTTGGTTTTTCGAGACAGGGTTTCTCTGTATTGTTTTGGAGGCTATCGGTCCAGCCCGGCCTCGAACTCACAGAGATCCGCCTGCCTCTGCCTCCCGAGTGCTGGGATTAAAGGCGTGTGCCACCAGGCCCAAGACTATTTCATACTTTCGTAGCCTATATGAGCATCAGGGTGCCTGCAGTAGCCAGCTGTTACTTTTCTTCAAAGCTTTATTTTCAGTGATGTGTGCGCATCTGTGTAAGGGGTTCGTGCACACGAGTGCAGGTGCCGGACTTTCGAAGACGGTGCTGGCGTTGTTTGTAAGTCGCGCATCGTGGGTGCCGCCAACAGCCCAGTCTGGGAAGAGCAGCAATTGCTCTCCAGCGCTGGAGCCAATTCTCTAGCCTAGCCTTGACGTTCTGATCGTCTTGTCTCCACCTCTCAAATGCTGGAACTACAGGTGCGTGGCGCTGCACCTGGTCTGTGACGTGCTGGAGATCGTACCCCAGGACTTTCTTCATGGAGGGCAACGAGTGTTCTAACTAAGCTACATTCCCGACCCCTGAGTAGAAGGGCAGCACTTAAGTAGAAGACCTCATGTCTCCCAGCTGCTCAGTGGCCTTTACTCTACCTAAGAGCTAAGACTGTGTGTTATGATACAAATACAAATACAAATTTGGGTTCCCGTGTCAAGTATCCGGCCAAAAAGCAGAACTGCCTTGTAAGAGTGCAAAGCAAAAGAGAACTGAATTCTGGAAATTGGATTCACCTGGTTTGAAATTGTGGAAAAGTTGAACAGAGAAAGCTTGGAAAGTCACATGGTTGTGAGCTAGGGGCTGAAACCAGAGTGGGTGCAACATGGCAGAATCCCAGGCAGCGGGGTTCCCCTAGCTGACTAAGGGGGCAAGGGGTGGGAGTGGGGTGAAGGGACGTGTGACACACCAGTTATGGCCAGATAGGCTTCTCAGGGTTGAAGGCTGCTCCCATGGCTGCCTCCCATTGGTCGAACACCACATTAGAAACTAGGGATCAGGAAGATAGTACAACAGCCTAAACAGCGCCCCCTTCTGGACAAAGCTGAGTAGGACAAAGGTGAGAAAAAACAAAACAAAAAAACAAAACAAAACAAAACTTGAGGACATTGGCATTTCAGGCATAAAGGACTGGGCACTCACTCCCAAGTCATCGCATCTACATCTAAAATCCACGATTGTCACATGTGCAATTATTTTGTGTACCATTAAAATATCAAACTGACTAATGCGAACCATCCATTGCCATTTGACGTTCTGTTTTAATGGGCATATGCATGTTCTTGTGTGTGTGTGTGTGTGTGTGTGCACGTGTGTGCAGGCAAGGGGCAACACCGGGTGTCATGCTAAGGCACCGTGCACTCTTTTGACACAAGGTCTCTTCCCTGGCCTGGGCCTCACCAGCTAGGGTAGGCGGGAAGCCCAGTGAACCACAGGGCTCTGTCTGTCTCCAGTTCCTCAGCACAGGGATTATAAACATGCCACACCACATCTGGCTTGAAATATTTGTTTTTATAAGTTTAGGGGTGCCATGGAAGACATGTGGGGGTCAGAGGGCAACTTTGTGGAGTTTTAGTTCTCTCCTTTCAACTTTATGTGGTTCAGGAATTAGACTCTCAGGTGGTCAAGCCTGTGTGGCAGGTCCTCTGTCCACTAAGCCACCTTACTGCTCTCCCTGCCTGGCTTTGGACATAGGTCCTGGCAATCTAATTCAAATCTTCATGCTTGCAAACTGGGCCATGCCCTCAGCCCTGAATCTTGGCATTGGTTTTAAAAAATGTGCTTTCCGCCAGGCATTGGTGGTGCACACCTTTAATCCCAGCACTCGGGAGGCAGAGGCAGGCGGATCTCTGTGAGTTCAAGATCAGCCTGGTCTACAAAAGCTAGTTCCGGGGCAGCCTCCAAAGCCACAGAGAACCCCTGTCTTGAAAAAACAAACAAACAACAAAAAAGTGCTTTTCTTTTTTTCTTTTTCTTTTTTTTTTTTTTTTTTTGAGACAGGGATTCTCTGTATTGTTTTGGAGGCTGTCCTGGAACTCACTTCGTAGACCAGGCTAGCCTCAAACTCAGATTCACCTGCCTCTGCCTCCCAAGTCTGGGATAAGGACATGTGCCACTACACCTGGCTTAATTTTAGTTTTTGAGACAGGGTCTTACAATGTAACCTTGCCTGGTATGGAACTCACAGAGATCTCTGCCTCCTTGATGCTAGGATTAATGATATGTACCATGAAATGCTGGGATGTGTTTTGTTTTGTTTTTAATTTAAGAACGTTATTGGAGGTCAGTGGCTATAATTTAGTGGCAGAGCACTTGCCTAGCATTCACTAGGCCCTGGGTTTGATTCCCAGTACCAAAAAAAAAAGTTGTAGGAGACCACGCTGGATGGCTCTCTGGTGAACTTAGTCCATGTAAAGTAAGTTGTCAACAGAAAATGAAAGGGCTGTGAATGCAGTTAGCACTGGCGGAAGAGCAATCGTCTTTCTGTCAAGCCCTTTCTTAAATGCCCTGGCGTTATTCCCGTTTCACAAGCGGGACTTGGGCTGGGTATGCAGATGAAGGGGTTTCCCCAAGATAAAAACAAGGAAGCAAAACTAAGGCGAGGCCGTGTGTGGTTAAAACCTGAAGCCCTGAGATAGGATGCATAAACTCAAGCACAGAACACGTAGAAGGCGGAATATGCACAAATCATATGAAAACAGTTGTGAGCCTGGTGAGGTAAATTTAAACAGCAATTGATAGGATCTTTGCAAGAATAATTCCAATTTAGGATAAAGTAATGAAATGAAACCCAGTGTCTCATCCAGCCACAATCTCTCCGCAGAGGGTGACTTCTCCATCCGGCTAGTGGTTAGTTGGAACTCTAGGATGTAGCTCAGACACTGGGGCAAGGTGCCACATCATTTATAGAGAGTCACCTGTGACTCAAGAGCCAGTTCAGTCCACGCCCCACTGCGCCCCTGGCTCAACCTCGCCCAAAGGTAGCGAGCGCCCCCTACTGGCCGTCCGCCTCTACGCTACTCAGGCCCATTCCCTCCACCCCAGCGCAGGGCGCATGCTCCTCCCTGTCCGCCCCGCCCACCCACGGCAGTCAGGCTTCTCGCGACAACCGGCTAGCGGCTGCCGGGATCTCGCGATAAAGGCCTATTGTCTCGCGCGAGCGTGCCTCCAGACGGCTTTCGGGCTGCTGTGGCCGGGGAAGAAGAGTTGCATGTGTCGCTTCAGCTGGCGGGAGCGGAGGCGGCGGGGGCTGTGCGACCGGCTGGGTAACGAGCGCTCGCGCCGCTGCGGCTTCTGAGGAGCTGGTGGAGCGTGTGGGGGCCGCCGAGGCGCTGCCCGGAGGAAGGGGGCCGGGCCGAGCGTCTCTACGCCCGCCCACATGGGGGCCTCCTGTGGCGTCCCCGGGATCTCCCCTCCGCGTCCGCCCTCTTAAGGGCAGCCAGCCCTTTTTCGTGGTCCCTAGGTCCCAGTTTTGTCTCCCGAGGCCGGGGCACTTCCGTCCTCGTCCCTGCCTCGGGCTCTCTCCCTTGGTGCTGTCGGCGCACCTTGCATGCTGGTCACCCCGAGTGACTCGCCCGTGTCGTGCAGATGCTGTGTAGCCTTTCCTACAGTCTGCATCCCTCCCAGATGAGCCTCAGACCTGCCCCGTCTCTGTTGAAGTCACCCACCCCTTGTGTTGCCCCCAACTGCTTCCTCTTTTCCTGTGCTGTCCCTTTTGCCCTCGTCCCGGCGCTCAGCCTTCATGGCCCATTCTTGATTCCCCGTAAACCCGTGGAACAGGTAGATGAACTCACAAGTGGTCATATTTTGCCGCTCCAGCCAAACGTGTGGCCTTCTTAATAGAATCGGAACAGCTTTGGGGTGCAGGGGAGTATAGTGAAAGCTAAGACCGCACCCAAACGCTGCTTTTTTTGGGTGGTCGAGCCCCCACAGTAGTGAAGTTGTGTTATTTTGCTTACAGGTCTGTGAGATGGCTACTGACATTTCTGAATCCAGTGGCGCTGATTGCAAAGGCGATACGAGGAACAGTGCCAAGTTAGATTCGGAATACCCTCTGCGAGTCCTTTATTGTGGAGGCAAGTGCTGGGAGAAAGAAATGACTTTTGCTCACTGTTTTTATGCCTAATGTTGGTAGTTTTCACAGTTGGTCTTGTTAGCTCCCACATCTGTCTGCTTGTGGTTTGATGGGTTCTTAATTAAGGAGGGAGCCTAGTGAGGGCACATAGGTTAACATGCTTCTCTTCCCGTGTCTTCTGGGCCTGCTTCCTGGCTTAGAGGAGTTTACAGTCCAGTTGGAATAGAGATAGGCAAGTAGGTTATCCCAGCCAGATGTTGGGTGCTTACTGCTTTATTATGGAGAGCTTATTGGAAGATATGGAGTCTTTTTTTTTTTTTTTTTTTTTTTTTTTTGGTTTTTCGAGGCAGGGTTTCTCTGTGGCTTTGGAGGCTGTAGACATATGGAGTCTTACGAGATGGTGAAGTATGGAAGAAGTGAGAAAGGCCATCCTGAAGGAAGTTGGGACGAAAGGCAAGGCCTGGAGATGTTGCCTAACGGCAGAACACTTCTCCAGGAAGTTCAGAACCTCAAATCGCAGTACAGGTTCAATCCCAGTACTGGGGTGAGGAAGGGTTCAGCTTGATGGCTTACTAGAATCTCGAGGGTTGAATTTTAGTTCATTTGTGAACGTGTGCATTGTGTTGTGATCCATGTGTGAATGTTGAGGGGCCATCTTGCGGATTGTGGGGAAGGAACCCAGGCTCTCAGGCTTGGTATCAGATGCCTTTACCCTGTGAGCTCCTTGAGCAACGTTGAATTGCTGATTAAGGAGTAGAGGTGAGGCTGGAATGACATGTAGCAAGACAGGCTTTGGATAATTAGGTTTTTTTGTGGACATGACGCCAGAGGTCAAAGTTGGGTGACTTCTTCACTTCAGTCTTTTTTTGTTTGTTTGTTTGAAAAGGTGGTCTCAGTGAGTCTTACATTCTAATGAGCTAGACTGGGTGACTGGATCCTCTGCCTCCCCAGTGTTGGGATTGTCCTGTGTCTGTGCTGGCTTTTATGTGGGTGCTGTAGCCTTGGCCAGCCTTGGAGCTCAGAGATCCACTTGCCCAGAGTGCTGGGATTAAAGGTATGTGCCAACATGCCTAACTACTTTTTTAAAAATGGGTTTCTATATGTGCCTGAGTGTGTGTATGCGTGCCACATGTGTGCAGGAACCCACACAGGTCAGATAGTGCTTTGGGTCTCTTGGAACTGGAATCACAGATGGTCCTGAGCCACCAGATGGGTGCTGGGAATCAAACCCGTGTCCTCTGTAGGAGCAGTAAGCTTTCTTAACCACTGAGCCATCTCTCCAGCCCCAACCTTTGTTCTTTTTTCTCTCTCTTTCTCTTTTGAAATAAGCTTAATTAGCTTCATTGTAGAGAAATTGTGGTAGCCCTGGTTGGATCCTGGGTCCTGGGTCCTGTGCATGGAGATTCTGGTTTGAGTTTTCACAAGACAGTCTGTAAGTTCCTGACAGGGAGATTTTAGTGGGCACAGTCTCTTTCCAGAGGGTCAGGTAGCTGTAGGCCTTGGAGATGGTATCAGAGGTGGCCTTGATGAAGTTGCCCAGGTCCCTGACTGAAATACAGTGTTCACTGTCAATACTGGCCATTGGTACGAGCTTCTTGGACACAGAAGCCAAGACGGTGCCATTGTCCCTGCTGGTGGAGGTGAAATACACCAGTCCAAGGCTGTAGCAAGCAGCCAGTCACTTAGTATGGGGTGTGCAGTTCTTGTGCCTCAGTAACCTACACACGGTGGTAGACAGCTTGGCTCCTTGGATGGCAGTGGCTGCTTCTTAACCTCCAGACTGGCGTGACTGTTGTCCCCAGTGGCAGGAGATGCCTTGAGTCTGGTCTGCTGGCTGCTGTGAGTGTGCTTCTACCGCAGCACAGTCTTAAGGGATGTCTCCAGGAGAAAGTCAGTATCCTGACTCCTCAAGGGCTGGGAGATTGACCTCTTCTAGAGACTTGCTCATGTCCTTGACCAGGTGGCTCAGCTTGGTGATAGGGATCCACTCCTGGCCTTTGGTCTTCACTCCCCGAGTAAACAACTCCTGTGGGCTCATCCTGACCCCACAGCCTCTGTGGTGTGTTCCCAGGGAAGACGAAACAGTTTTAGTATAAATCCTAAGCACAGGCTTTAAAGAGGTAGTGGGAGGTGCTTAGCAGAAGGACAGTACATAGCCAAGACAGGTTTTCAGACTTCCTAAGAGGGGCTGACAGGTGGCTCAGTGGGTAAGCATGCTTCTTGTAAGTCCTGACCTCTAAAGTTGATGTGAAGGAACACATGTAATCCCTGCATTCACACAGGCTAGTCAGGAGGATCTCAAAATTCCAGGCCAGCCTGGGCTTCGTAGAACCTATCTTAAAACTTGAAGGGAAGTGACAGAGGAAAAAAGGAAGAAATTACATAGATTGTGACTTGTTTATAAAGATCAAGCAGGGTATGGTGATTCAGACCTATAGTTCCAGTGCTTGGGAGAAGGAGAAAGGAAGGTTGTTGCAAGATTGAGGCCAGCGTGGGCTACAATAGGAGCTGTATAGTAAGACTGTATCTGGGTGGTGGAACACAACTTTAATCCCAGCACTCAGGAGACAGAAGCAGGTAGATCTCTGAGTTCAGGACAGCCAGGCTACACAGAAACCCTGTCTCAAAAAAACAAAGGAAAACCCCCAAACCAAAAATGCTAATCATGGCACATATCACCTAGCACTCAGGAGGCAGAGGCAAGAGGGTCACCAGAACTTCAAGGCCAGCCTGATTTACATGAGTTCCAAGCTAGCCAGGGCTACATAGTGAGACACTGGTAGGGGCCAAGTAGAGCTATCGTTTGTTTTACCCATTTCACAAAATTTAAGGTTCCTTTTGTTTTGTTTTTTGTTTTTTCTAGGCAGAGTTTCTCTGTGTGAAACAGCTCTGGCTGTCCTTCAGCTCATTTTGTAGATCAGGCTGGCCTCAAACTCATAGAGATCCATCTGCCTCTACCTCCCAATTGCTGGGATTAAACCAACCAGCAAGATTCCCTATTTTATGTAGTATTAGATTAGGTTGCATTAAAAAAAAGATGGCAGTTAGGGCATGTAGACTGACATATAATGTTATTGTAATAATATCCTTGTAAAGATGTAAACAAAGAATCAGTGAGAGATATAAAATAGGAAAGCTGTGCTTACTGAATTACCAAATTTATTTTATTTTTGGAGACAGCTGGCCTGGAGTGTGCTATGTAGACCAGGTTGACAAATGCACAGAGATCCTGCCTCTGGCTCCTAAGTGCTGGAACTAAAGGTGTGCATCACCATACTTGGCTTATGTTGCTTTAAAAACTTTTTTTTGAGACAGGGTTTCTCTGAGTAACAGCTCTGGCTGTCCTGGAGTTTGCTGGCTGTCTAGAACCACCAGGCCAACTTTTTAAAAAAATGTTTTTAAAAGATTTACTTGTATTTTTAAAAATTTCTTTTAACGTATTGATAGAGGATTTGTCTACATGTGTGTCTGCACCACTTGCCTGCCTGGTGCCCACAGAGACTTGGAGAGGGCATTGTATCCTTTGGAATCATCATAATTAGTTCTGGGAATTGAAACATGTCCTCTGGAAGATCAGTTTTCTAAACCTTAACCACTGAGCCATCTCTAGCCTGTGGATTTTATTTTTTATTTTATTTTTTTAAAGATTTATTTGTTTATTACATATACAGTGTTCTGCCTATATGCCAGAAGAGGACACCGGATTGAATTGTAGATGGCTGTGAGCCACCATGTGGTTGCTGGGAATTGAACTCAGGACCCCTGGCAGAGCAGTCAGTGCTCTTAACCTCTGAGTCATCTCTCCAGCCCGTGGATTTTATTTTTGATTATGTGTGTATATTTGTGTCTATGTGAGTGGTGTCCACAGGTTGGTGTATATGCTCTTAGCCATTATACTACGTTTTAAGCCCATTTGTATCACTTTAAAAAAGGGTATTAAAGCCTGGTGGTGGTGGCCCATGTCTTTGATCCCAATACCCAGGAGGTAGAGGCAGGTGGATCTCTGAGTTCAAGGACAGCTTGGTCTACATAGTGAGTTCCAGGACAGCCAGGGCTACACAGAGAAACCCAGTCTCAAAAAAACAAATTAAAAAAAAAAAAGCAACTACAAAAAAAAACATGTTGCCAGGCAGTGGTGGCGCACGCCTTTAATCCCAGCACTCGGGAGGCAGAGGCAGGCAGATCTCTGTGAGTTCGAGGCCGGGCTGGACCGATAGCCTCCGAAACAATGCAGAGAAACCCTGTCTCGTAAAAACCAAAACAAACAAACAAACAAAAAACAAAACAAAAATATGTATTGTTTGGTTGTTGCTGTTGTTTGAGGCAGGGTTTACTATGTAACTTGATCAGGCTAGAATTTACAGCATACACTAGGCTGGTCTCTGCTTCCTAACTTCTGGGACTATAGGTGTGAACTACCCCCTGCTAGGTATACAAAAAACAAAACCAAGTCACCTGTATCCCAGGCTGTCTTTGAACTTGCTGTGTAAATGAGGATGACCTTGAATTTCTGATCATTCTGTTGTGTACCACCTGGCCCAGTGTATGGGTGTCAGGGATTGAGCCCTGGGTTTCATGAGTTAGAGAAGCAATAAACTGTTCTACAATCCTAGACCCCCATGTGTGTCACTAGGGTGGTGGCTTTTGAAAGGGTGACACTATTCCATCTGTCCCACTGGTGAACAGTTACTACTCTTTTGTTTTTAATTGTATTTTGTCTGTGTGAGAGTAGCGCTCAGATCAGATGACAGCTTTTGAGAGTTAATTCTCCCTCTGTTGAGGATTCCAGTAATTGCGATCAGGTAATCAGCTTAGCCTGACTACAGCTGTCTTTGCCTGCCACATCAGTCTAGTCCCTAATCTGAGAAAAGTTAACTTTCTTCAGTTCCCTCCTTACTTTTGGGCTGTCGTTACAGATACTACGAGAAGGTGAGCTCTACCCCCCAGGGAGTTAAAGTTGATCTATATGTATAAGGAACACTTGAGAGTAGTGGGCTCAGTTGTATAAGAGCTTGCTACCAAGCCTGATGGCCTGAATTCAATCCTTGAACCCAGGTGGTAGAAGGAGAGACTCACATAGGAAATAGAAAACACTGAGTTAAATAATACTAATACAACCATAAATTGGGAGTTGAGAAGGGGAGGGGTCTTGAAGAGTGAAGTAAGGAAGAGTGAAGTAAGGAGATGATGAGGAAATGGGCCCTGTTTGAAGCCTTAGGTGATGGGTATTACATGATGGTTTCCTGTGAAGCATATTTTGTTGATTGCTTGTGTGAGTCAAAGGTAAAATGTGTTTTCTGTGACCCCAGGCTTAGTAAGCCAGGTGTGTAAGGCACAGGCTACCAAAAGGTGCATTTAGAGTCCAGCCTTAGCATGTTATGATGGTGGGCTTCATTAGCCAGCTTGGTAAGAAAGTGCAATAGCATTCTTAATAGGGTCCATGCCATAGTGAATCAGCAATTGACAAAAGTACATGAGGATAATGTGCTGGGCTAGATTGTGGGGAGGACTGTACAACAGCAAGGCTCTGCCTGTTCTCTACATGCAACTTAGACTGAGTAGCCTTTGGTGAGTGTTGGATGGGGAGGGGAGAGGTTCTTCCAGTTGTAGAGGGGGAGACTACGTAGAGGCGAGCGCAGCTGGTAGGAATTTGAAGGGCAGGTTGTATTTAAGCAGGCAGATATGCCAGGCCAAAGAGCAGGAAGAGAGGTAGAAAAAGATGGGGAATGTAGATTTGCAGGTTTTGCAGTGTACTTGTTAATGAGAATCTTGGAAGTAGAATCGGGTAATTGAAAGCATTTGTGTCTGGACCAGATTTTTGGGCCTTGTTTTATACTTGCTGTAGGTCACTGAAGGTTTTTGAGCAAAGAAGCTATGTGAGAATGCAACTGGCAGCAGCGTGAAAGGTGAAGGAAGAAAACTTAGTGACAGCGTGTGGTATGATTTATCAGAATTAGAGAGGGTTTAGGTCAGTGCTTCTCAACCTTCCTGATGCTGCGACCCTGTAGTACAGTTCCTCATGTTATGGTGACCCCCAAGCCATAAAATTATTTTTTGCTACTTCATAACTGTAATTTTGCTACTGTTAGGAATTGTAAATATCTGTTTTCCAATGGTCTTAGGTGAGTGAGGCTTTTGGGGTGGTGACCCCCCCCAGGTTGGGAACCACTGGTTTAGAAGAATGGCATAACGAGAAGTGTTATGCACCTGAAGTCCTAACTGCTCAGGAGATTGAGGCCTGATTGTTTGAATCCAGGAGTTCCAGCCTAGCCTGGGCAATAATGTTCTGTGACCCTGTCTCTGTCTTTATGTCTCTTCCCCTATTTTTATTTGAGTCTGTATGTGTTTGTGCCACATTGTGGGTGCCCACAGATGCCAGAAGAGAGTGTCAGATCTGGAACTAGAGTTACAGATAGTTGTGAGCCACTGATATAGGTGCTGGGAGCCAAACTCCCATCTTTGCAAGAGCAGGCATGCTACCCTGTTAAGCCACCTCTCCAGTCCCTGAGTTAGAGGGGACCAGTCTCATCTCTAAGCTAGAGACCTAGCAGGGATTCAGAGAACAGCTTGAATTATTTAGAAAACATGTGTTACGCTTCTGCTCTGTGCCAAAGTGTCAGAGAACTGTCATTTGAATAATCATGTACCTTTTACCCCAGAAATCTCTGCAGAGTAGTATTTGAAAAGTGAGTAGTACTGGCAAGTCTGAAGGCAGGTAAGGTGTGTGCTTGTAATCTCAGCACCCAAGAGGCCGAGGCAGCAATATCATGAAGTTTGAAGCCAGTGTGTGCTTCCTGGCTGATACTAATATTCTTGGGGTGTTAAGAGAGAGAAAACGCTCAAGTAGAGTGTTTGAAAAGTAGAGTGATGACACATAATTGTCTTCAAAAAAAAAGGAGAAAGAAATGAAAAACTAGAGGGGAAAATTGAAGTATTCTGTCAGATAGAAAGTATGAGGTTCTTGTGTTGTCATGGTTTTAACATTTCACGTCTTTTTTTCTCTCCATTTCTCTAGTCTGTTCATTACCAACAGAGGTAAGTCCTGCTTGTTAGGTTTTTTGTTTTCTTTTTTTTTTCTGCATGTGAGATCATTCTTGATTTTAGAGTTAATATAAGAGCTTCTTCTATTTTTCATGTCCTGTCAGTTGTGAACCATCTTGCTGGCCCGGGATCAGAATACTTTTTTATCTTTATACATACTCTCTTATCTTATAGGCCCTTTTTTTTCTTTTCTTTTCTTTTTTTTTTTTAATAAAATAGGGTTTTAGCCTTTAATCCCAGCACTCGAGAGGCAGAGGCAGACAGATCTCTGGTCTACAGAGTGATTTCCAGGACAGCCAGGGCTACATGGAGAAACCCTGTTCGAATAACCAAAAATGAGCCAGGGGTGGTTATGGACACCTTTAATCCCGGCATTTGGGAGACAGGGGTATCTCTGTGAGTTCTAGGACATCAGAGAGTACACAGAGAAACCATGTCTCAAAAAAAAAAAAAATGAATGAATGAATGTAGACTCTAACAGTGTTCAGTGTTGTCCAGATTATCTTTGAACTCAGTTGTGCTCAAACAATGCTCTTTCCTTATCCTTCTGAGTAGCTGTGATTATAGATGTCTTTTTTTCTTAAAAATATTTGTGGATGTATTTTTATTTATTTATGTGTGTGTGTGCCTACATGAGTTGTGTGTATTATATGCATTCAGTGCCCTCTGGTCAAGAAGGCATTGGATCCCCTGGAACTGGAGTTGTGGGTGGTTGTGAGCCAAAATGTGGATGCTAGAACCTAAATATGGATCCTTTGCAAGAGCAATAAGTGTTCTTAACTAGTAAGCATCTCTCCAGCCACATGTGTACATCTTTTTTGTTCTTGACTGTATGGTTTAGATTTTTGTGTGGAATTTATGAGTAGTCAAATGGTGGAAGCCAAGACTTACATGCCTGAGCCAGAAGAAAGATGAGTAGAAATTGAGCATAAGACTTCCCTTCAGTCAAGTTCCATGGACAAGTCAGGAAAATAATGAGGGCCCTTTGAGGCCAAAGCAAGAAACGTGGTTTTCGTTTGTGACTCTCCTCCCTCACTCTTTTTCCTTAGAGTAGGTGGTCTCACTGCGTGATTTATAACCTTGACTTCACAGTCTCTAGCCTGATCCTCTTGAGCGAGTGAGTGCTGGCATTACAGGCTTGCATCCCTGCCTGGCTGTTATTGCCTTCTAATGACCCTTTTGTTTGATGAAAAAGTAAACAGTTGCTCTGAGGAGATTCTGATTTGAGTTTTCACATACCCCCCCCCCCAAACTCCACTCCACCCCAGGTGTCTATGTAGCCCTAGCTGTCCAGGCTGGCCTCTAACTCTGTCTCTGTCTCCCCAGTGCTGAGATTAAAGGCATGAACCATCATGCCCATTGAGTTTTCTTTTTTTGTTTTGTTTTGTTTTTGTTTTTACGAGACAGGGTTTCTCTGTATCGTTTTGGAGGCTGTTGGTCCAGCCTGGCCTCGAACTCACAGAGATCTGCCTGCCTCTGCCTCGAGTGCTGGGATTAAAGGCGTGCGCCACCACCGCCCAGCATCGAGTTTTCATTTCTTAAGGGACATTTCCTAATTGAATTACAGATTTCCTGTGGATGAGTCGAGCAAGGCTGAGAATGGTGACATGTAATTCCAGTACTCTGATTTAGATTTAGAGACCTCCCTGGCTACATAGTGAGATTGTACATGTGTGTAGTTTATCATTCTTTATGTGTCAAGTAAATGGGGATGTTTTAACTATATTGGTTGAAATGTATGATTTCTCACTCAATTTGTTCTTTTCCTTCCCTTCCAGTACTGTGAATATATGCCTGATGTTGCTAAATGTAGACAATGGCTAGAGAAGAATTTTCCAAATGAGTTTGCAAAACTGACTGTAGGTATGGAAATTTTCCTTTTTGAACATAGGTTTTTATTTTAAAATTGTATTGACGAAATCCAGGTGGTCGTGCACATCTTTAATCCCAGCACTCAGAAGGCAGAGGCAGGCGGATCTCTGAGTTCGAAGCCAGCCTGATCTACAAAGTGAGTTCCAGAACAGGCTCAGTTTTTATTTACATGAGGCAGATACTCTTTTCCTTGGTAAGGCCTTTGGATATAATAGCTACTTACTTAGTTATTCTTTGTTGCAAAAGAACACTTAAGGCAGGTCTTGTAATTAGTTCCTGCATTTTGGCCCTGAGCATGACCTGCCTAGACATGATTATGACTTAAAGAGGGATGCAGGAGGAGAAGCATATTTCATCCAGGACCAGATGTTAACAAGATCAGTGTGTTAAGATTCTAAACTGAGGGCTACGCTGTGGTGGCACACACCATTAATCCCAGCACATGGAGGGCAGAAGCAGGGAGATTTCAGTGAGTTCCAGGTCAGCCTAGATTAGAGGGCAGTCAGGACTGTTACACAGAGAACCACTGTCTTGAAAAAAAAAAAGCCTTAAAAAATATTCTAAACTGATAATAAGTAAGGATTGGCTGGGTCAGTTTTACCCTTGTTAGAGGAAGAGAACAGATAAAACCATCTAAGGAATCCTTGGCAGGCTCTTACAGTATCGATGAGACTGATGATTTTGCTGATATCATTGTCTGCTTTAAGGTGTATATGGTGGAGGAGGCTGTTTATCAGGTTAAAGAGTTAAAGGAGTAGCTGGGTATGGTGGTGCACACCTTTAACCCTAGCCCTCCAGAGTCTGAGCAGATGGATTCCTGAGTTTGAGGATAGTCAGGGCTACATGGAGAAACCCTGCTTCCAAAAACCAAAACAAACAAAAGCCAGTTTAAAGTTATAATTCAGCTTTTGAGTTTCTGTTCTTGTAACCTCATGGGGAGCATTAAGATACAAGGTTAATGAGGAAGAAATTTTGGCATCATGGTTAACATAAGTTTTTGTTTAATAAGACGAGGCATAATTTTGTAGCTCACTGGACTGTGTACCAGAAACATTAGAATACTGTAGCTCTACTGGTAGTGTCTTACCAACAAGAAATACCACCTTTAGTGATTCTCAAAAGAAATCTGAGACAAGCCCCCTAAAATTTTGAGCAGGTTTCTTTTTTGTCAAATTAAAAGATAGGGAAATCTGAGAGTGAGGAAACACATCAGTAGAAACACAGAACAACAGATCCTCTGGGGGGATGGGGGGGACACGGGGATGGGGAGACGGGGGGGGGGGGCGGACGGACGACACACGGGGAACGGGACACTAGGAAAGCCAAAAAACCCTGGCCTTGCTTCTGATCCTCCTGCCTTTACCTCAGTGCTGGAATAAAGTGGGAGCAGAACCCAGGGCTCGTGACTCAGACAACACTCTAGCCTGAGCCACATCCTCAGCAGGTGACTGTTTTGCTATTTGTATAAAATGATGTTCATGCTCTTGAGTTTTATTTTTCTCTCCAGAAAATTCACCCAAACCAGAAGCTGGAATTAGTGAAGGTCAAGGACCAGTAGGGGAAGAGGAGGAGAAGAAAAAACAAAAGAGAGGTAAGACCTAATCTACTTTTTTCTACAAACATACCTCCCTCTTATAGAGCATAGGTGAAGGGATGAGCACTGCCTGTTACTGTGAGCTAGGCATGCTGGCTCATGCTTGTAATGTTAATATTGAGAGATTCAGGCCAGAAAACTGCTGGGATCCTGTTCAAGGCCAGCCTGAGCTACATGACGAGAGTCTTGTCTCAAAAAGCAGAAGCTAATGGTTATGGTGGTGAGCACCTTTAATCCCAGTGCTTGGGAAGCAGAGGCAGATGGATCTCTGAGTTCCAGGACAGCCAGGGTACGTAGAGAAACCCTGTCTCAAAAGGAAAAACAAGCCGGGCAATGGTGGTGCATGCCTTTAATCCCAGCACTCGGGAGGCAGAGGCAGGCGGATCTCTGTGAGTTCGAGGCCAGGCTGGACCGACAGCCTCCAAAACAACACAGAAACCCTGTCTCGTAAAACCAAAAAAACAAAAAAACAAAAAAGGAAAAACAAAACAGATTCACAGTTTATATATGTTTGTCCTATGTGCATTCAAAACACAAATCAGCCTCTTGGGGGTTCCTTTCTGTTGAAGTGGAATGAGCTGTTACTTAACAATTAACTCCTCTCTAAAATAGATTCTTTTTTTTTTTTTTTATTTTAGGTTTTTCGAGACAGGGTTTCTCTGTATTGTTTTGGAGGCTGTCCTGGAACTCACTCTGTAGACCAGACTGGCCTCGAACTCACAGAGATCCACCTGCCTCTGCCTCTGGAGTGCTGGGATTAAAGGCATGCGCCACCAACAGCCAGCTGTTTTTGTTTTGTTGTTGTTTTGTTTTTTGAGACAGGGTTTTTCTGTGTAACTTCTGGCTGTCCTGGAGCTCACTAATGTAGACCAGGCTGACCTTGAACTCACAGAGTTCTGCCTGCCTCTGCCTCCCAGAGTGCTGGGATGAAAGGTGTGTGCCACCACTGACTGGCAGCATTGCCTTTTCTTTAACCAGTATCTTAAGCCTCTTGCTTTACCCTTTCAGGTGCTGGGATTAGAAGCATGGGTCACTATGCCCGGTTTGTCGCTTTTGAACTAGACTAAGATACTGTGTGTTTCCTAGTTTCTGTGAAAAGTTTTTCTCAATTTCATTTTGTATAGGATTTTTTTTCAGGTTGTTTGTGGTCAGGTTTTTTTTTTTTTTAGGTTTTGTATTATATTTCAGGGTTTCTTGGTATTATTATTTTTTCATTTTTTTTGACAATTATATAACTTAGTCTGACTTGCAATTCACTAGGCTAGCATCAAGCTCTCAATCTTCTTGTCAGCTTTATGTCATGATCTGGGAGGGGCTTTTGAGACCTTATCTATCCCTGATCTGGGGAAGGGGTAGCTCATGAGAGACATTCTCTTCAGTGGTATAGCGACTGGTAAGCCCGTGTACCTTAACTCTTAACCCTTAATACTTTAATTCCTGGCCCATGGATGAAGGCATTTGTCATAAAACCTAACAACTGCTTTATAGATCAGGCTGGCCTTGAACTCACAGAAATCTACCTGCCTCTGCCTACCAATTACTGGGATTACAGGCGTGGGTCACCACCGCCAAGCTAAAATAGATTCTTTATGTTGTGGCACCTGTCCCCTGCCCATCTCTTCTTCATTAATTGTTTTGTTATTAAAATCAGCTTATGATTTTTTAAGATTCATTTTTATTTTATATGTATGGGTGTTTTGCCTGTATGTATATACACCATGTTCATGCATTGCCCGTGGAATATAGACAATAGGGATCAGATCTCTAGAACTGGAGTTACAGATGGTTAACAGTCTTGTGGGCACTGGGAACCAAACCTAGGTCATCTTTGAAACAAGAGTGCTTAACTGCTAAGCCATTTTTCCACCCCCAGCTTATAAATATTTTAAAGACTCTCTCCCCCCCCCATTTTCCTCCAGTGCTGGGCATTGAACCCAAAGCCTTACATATACTGCTTAAGAGAGAAAAGAGTCTGTTGCTATCTTTTCCTTTTATCACCCGATCTTAACAAGATGTCTTTACTAAAGGGGACTCACCTCCACATCTGTTACTGCTCTCTCCAGCCTGTTTTAACCTGACTTTAACTTAACTGAAACTGTTCTAATAAAAGTTACCAGTGTCGCCCGGCGTTGGTGGCGCACGCCTTTAATCCCAGCACTCGGGAGGCAGAGGCAGGAGGATCTCAGTGAGTTCGAGACCAGTCTGGTCTACAAGAGCTAGTTCCAGGACAGCCTCCAAAGCCACAGAGAAACCCTGTCTCGAAAAACCAAAAGAAAAAAAGAACACCTGAATCTTTCTGAAGTGAAAATTTCACTGGTTTGCCTGTTTGTGTAGATCTGTCTTCCTGGTGTCCCTTCGAAGTAACTTCCCAGGCCCGGTCCTAGGTCCTCACCTCCTCATTGTATTCATTCTCCCAGGATATTTCTATTGTATCTCTAACTTCTGCTACACTGTATACCTGTAATACCTGGCCCATGTCAGGCTGGAAATATGTATGGTCCCATAGATACCACAAATTAAATTGATTGTGTCCTGAATTGATCTTTCATTTCCCCCATGTTGGCATGGTGGCACAATTATCCTGCACGTGAGCTGGAAACCTGTGAACTGTGTTAGGCTCCCATTAATAGTCCTAAAGTCTGTTCTTTGTCTCCTGCTCTTTACTCTGCAGCTTTTACCGATGCCATGTTTGGTTTATATTTTGATTAGTTTTTTTGCTGGAGTGAATGCAGGAGCTGCGTTTGCCTCTCTTCCACCCTAGTTTTCATAGATTCACCCTTCACACTAGAGCTGGCCTGATCTTTATAACCATGAATCCATTCTTTGATTCTTTGTCTTCAGTGGCTTCTCTTTGTCCAGTATAGTCACTCCCGAGCTTGGCTCCAGTTCTGTTGACGTCTGACTTTCCAGCAATAATTTTCCTCACCATGACGGACTGTACTTTTGAATTTGAGTCAAAAGAAACCCTTCCTTCCTAAAAAGAAAAGTTACTTTTTATTTATTTTTGTATTTATTTATTTTTTGGTTTTTCGAGACAAGGTTTCTCTGTGGCTTTGGAGGCTGTCCTGGAACTCACTCTGTAGACCAGGCTGGCCTCGAACTCCCAGAGATCCTCCTGCCTCTGCCGCCTGGCTGAAAAGTTACTTTTTAAAAAACTTGCTTTTGTTGAGTGTTTTCCTAGCAAGAAGAGAAGTAAGGGGGGGGGGGCTGGAGAGAAGGCTCAGCAGTGAAGAGCACTTGTTGCCCGTAAGACTCTGGTTCAGTTCCCAGCACACGCTTGATGGCTCACATCATTTGTAACTGTAGTTCCAAGGGATCTGATGCTCTCTTCTGACCTTTGTGGGCACTAGCCGTGGACGTGGTACACATACATGCATGCAGGCAAAGCATTCATGTGCACAAATAAGGGGAGAAGTAACGAATGCATAGAGTGCACTCATCAGACACTGAGTTTGCAGACTTGCTGGTCTTCATCTTGTCTCTCCTATGCATTCTTCAGTAAGACAAGCTTGCTTCCCAAACTCAGTGTCTTTTCTCTTGGACTGAATGTATGTATGTCTTATACCTTTTCTTTTTTTTTTGGTTTTACGAGACAGGGTTTCTCTGTATTGTTTTGGAGGCTGTCGGTCCAGCCCGGATCTCACGGAGATCCGCCTGCCTCTGCCTCCCGAGTGCTGTGATTAAAGGCGTGCGCCACCACCGCCCTGCGTCTTATACATGCCTCTGATTTTTAACACTCACTTTGGAGGTCACTTCCTTTAGGAAACATTTTCTGTCTTTTTTTAATATTTATTTATTATATCAGACAGAGGTGTCTCACGTTTTTTATCCTAACACTCAGGAGGCAGAGGCAGGTAGATCTTTGAGTTGCAGGACAGCCAGGCTGCACAGAGAAACACTGTCATGAAAAAAACAAAAATAAATATTTGTGTGTGGGAGGTAGTACACGTGTGGAGGTTGGAGGACAGTTTGCAGGAGCCAGTCCTTCCTTTCCTTCCATCATGTGGGTTCTGGGGATTGAACTCAACCCTGTATGTTTGGCAGCAAGCATCATTACTTGATGACACATCCATGGTCCCTAGGACTTGTGTAACTGTCAGATAAAATGATTACCTAACTTACTGTAGTACAGTAAAAACTTGGGAGTGAAAATTGAGATAAAGACCTGAAGAACTCAAGGAAATCAGAATGGTTAGCCCACCCTCTCTCCATGAAATTCCTCCCGAACTCCTCCTGAGTCTCTTCCTGCTGTCTGTAGCCTTCCTGCAAAGTTCTCCAAGAACTTTATGGCTAACCCCAGTTGACTCCGTCCTGGAATCAAGGTTGCTTTCTCAGCACAGTGGGATGGCTATATGGACAATCCTTCGCAACAGACTTGAACTTAAGCTCCTCTTCCCTCATTTTTCTGGGTGCTGCCACTACAGGCCTGCATCACAATGTCTGGTTTAACACCTCCACCACCACTCTGTTTAATAGATTGTGAGTTCCTGGCAGATGGGAACTGTGTCCTGCTTATCTTTGCATCCTCAGTCCTTAACGCAGTGCTGGGCACATAGTAAGTACTAATTGATAAATGTTTATTGAGTAAATAGCCTGTGTGATTTTGTAAATTGGAAAAGGAATTTGAAAACAAAGGGAAAGACTGATGTATGTTTTACATTCGTGAAAAGGAAGCAATTGATGTGAACTCTTTCTTAATGAAGGTGGAAGAGGTCAAATAAAACAGAAGAAGAAGACAGTACCACAGAAGGTCACCATAGCCAAAATTCCTAGAGCAAAGAAGAAATATGTGACGAGAGTATGTGGCCTTGCAACTTTTGGTGAGTTGAGGTTTTAGTTTGTTTGTTTACAACCCTGGAATATCTCAGCTTAGGTGTATAAACTGGAGTCTCTATCTGTATCATGAAATACCATTGTAGTGTTGGGGAAGCTGCATCCCTTCTTCCATATATCTGTTTATGCCAGGAATGTACTAAAAGAGGAGACTTTGCCTTTCTTTCTGTTTTTATTATTATGTGTATGGGTGCACCTTGTGTCCGCAGAGGCCAGAAGAGGGTGCTGGATTCCCTGGAACTAGAGTTAAAGATGGTTGTGAGCCACCATGTGGTTGCTGGGAATTGGGCCATAGCCTCTGCAAGAACAGCCAGTGCTCTTAAGAACGGAGCCATCTTTTTTTCCGACCCCTGATCTGGATTTTTTTTTTCCCCTATAAAGTCTTGCTCTGTAGCCCAGGCTTGCCTGGAACTTGCTGTGTAGTTCAGGCAGTCCACCCACCTTCTTTTCTAGGTGTTGAGATTACAGATATGTGCCGTGTTCAGCACAAGATTTTCTTTCTTTGTTTTTATTTTTCTCTTGTTTTATTTTCATAAAGGCAGGCTTGCCAGGTGTGATGGTACACACCTTTAATTCTAGTACTCAGGAGGCAGAAACAGGCACATGCCAGTGTGGGTAAACATAGGTAGTTCATGGTCAGCCAGGGCTACATAGAGTGAACCATTTGCCTTAAGGGAAAAAAAAAACGACTTGATGAGGCTTCTGTATCTTAAGCTGGCTGTGCTAGTAATGAAGGATAAGGATGACCTTGAACTTCTAACCCTTCTGCTTCCACCTCCCAAGTACTGGTTTATAGGACTGTACCGCCTGCCTAGTTTATGTGATCCACTGTGGAGATTGAAGTGAGGGCCTCTGAGTTGTTAGTCAAAGACTTTTCCTACTCAGCTGATTCCTAACTACAGTTTTGAAATTACCATTTAAAGTTTTTTGTAGCCCAGCTCTTAAGGGATTGCTGCTTGAATATATTTGTATAGAATGAAGAGTGCTAGGTAGGACTTAAAACCAACTAAGGGCTCCTGTGTCTCCAGCAGTCATTTTTGAGAGAGGTTTGTAAAATAGCCCAACTCTGGGAGTGCCCATAGAGGTGAGGGAAGGTGGGTATTGGCATGAAGTTTTGTTCAAAGCCCTTCAGTTGCTGGAGGATGACTGCATAGCAGAGTCTGTGGTAAAAATGTAAACCAAGATCTCTGTGTGACAATAAAAAATGTACAGATTGATGTATAAATATTAAGATTTAATCTGTTGAGGTGGCACATACCTATAACCCTGACACTTGGGAAATGTCTTAGTTAGGGTTTCCATTGCTGCAAAGAGACACTATGACCACAGCATTACAGTTTCAGAGGTTTAGTTTATTACAGTCATAATGAGAAGCATGGCAGCATATAGGCTGAGAGTTCTACATCTTGATCCGCAGGCAGCCAGAGACAACTGTGTATCACACTGGGCATAGCTTAAGCATACAAGACCTCAGAGCCCACCTCCACCAAGACACACTTCCTCCAACAAGGCCACACCTTCTAATAGTGCCCCCCCTCCCTATGGACTAAGCATTCAAACACATGAGTCTATGGGAGCCATTCCTGTTCAAACCATCACTAAAACTAAGACGAGGAATGCAAGTTCAAGGCCAGTGGGGCTCCTGTAGCAATTCCCTGTCTCAACGAGCAAAAAAACAAAACAAAGCTTAGGTATAAAGGTTTGGTTCTATGTTGTCAGTTTTTCTGTTATAAAGAGCTTAAGCATGGATGAATGTGATGCTTGGAAGGAAGTAATATATTCCTGAATTCATGTGGTCGTCTTTCTCCCTCCCTCCCTCTCTCCTTTCCTTCCTTCCTTTTTCTTTCTTTCATTCTTTCTTTCTTTGTTTTCCCCCTCCCCCTCTCCTCTCTTTTTCTATGTAGCCCTGGCTGTTCTGGAACTCACTCTGTAGACCAGGCTGGCCTGTAACTCAGAGATCCACCTGCCTCTGCCTTCTGAGTGTTGGAATTAAAGGCTTGTGTTACCATGGGCAGCCATTTTGGTCTTACTGTGTGATGGAATCTACTACTGAGACTATATGACTTTGAAAATGTGTATTAAAAGTTTTTCCTGTAATAGTTCTCATCATTGTTCTGGGGAAAAAATCGTTAACATCATTTGTTAAATGATTTTTAAATGTAGATGAAATTTCAAAATTAAGAAATATCTTTTTTTGTACAATTCCAACTATGATCTTGCCCTTTCTTTTTCTAAAAATCAAACCAAAACAGAAATTGATCTCAAAGAAGCACAAAGATTTTTTGCTCAGAAATTCTCCTGCGGTGCCTCAGTGACAGGGGAGGATGAGATCATCATTCAGGGAGACTTCACAGATGACATAATCGATGTCATCCAGGAAAAGTGGCCAGAGGTAAGTGCAGAGGACACGTGCACCATGAAACACATTTTAAAAGCAAGTTACTTCATTTCTTAATTTTGGCCACAATTCATAAACTTCTTTTACCTGCCCTACAGGTGGATGATGACAGCATCGAAGACCTTGGAGAAGTGAAGAAGTGAGTCTGGAGTCACGTGTTTCTGAGCTGACCTGAGAGTTGACACGGCCAACAGAGGAGAGGCCTTTCAGAAATATATACATGTGTATATATGTATATCCTACAGTAAAGCTGTAGACTCCTCATCCTTGGCGTTCATTGTTCTGTACAAGGCTGCTTGGTTGGTTTGTTTGGTTTGTTGTTTTTGTTTTGTTTTTTTATTGCCAAAGTCTGATACACAAAAGAGAGAGAGAAAGACTGTCATGCTTATGCATGAATCTGAATTTAGTCAAATAAAACATTTTGGTCATTTGGTACTGATTTTTTTTTCTTTTCTTTTTTTTTTTTACTTTTTATTTTAGAAAAACACTGTAGATCTTCCTGCCTACTTGGTGCTGTCAGTAGGACCCAGGGCCCTGTGCTTGCTGTGCAAGCACTGCCATTGAGCTAGTTGGCACCAAAACCTTCTCTTCTTTTTTGGGGAAGTGTTTCTGTTGGTTATCTTACTGGGATAAAGCTGAGTGACTTTTAAAAAGAATTTGTTTCTCATTTTCTTACCAGAAGTGTGTCTCCTTGGTTGGTGAGACTTTAATGGGGTTTTGGCTGGATTTGTTCTTTTATTAATGACAAAGTCCACTTCGTTGATAAAACGAACAACACAGAATGGGTAGATTTGCTCAAGTCATTCCAATTCCAGAGAGTACTTGATAAAGTACATTAAAAGCCTTAAAACCATGTGCACTGTGACCCAGCAAGCCCCTTCATATACAAACTCATGGATGAGGGTGCCATTCATAATGTTACTGATGATGTTAGAGCTCATAAATAATATAAACAGTTAAAGACATGGTGTGTATCTTGTGGTAGGATACTGTATATTTGAAAAAGCTTTTCTCCCAGTAATGTTGAGTAGGGTCAGACCACAAATTTGTTTTAGACATTCATTCTTACTGTTATGAGTGGAAGGGTGCTCAGAGAGGCTGAGAATTCTTGTTCTGACTATATATCATTTGGGTAAAATTATAACCAATTAAAAACAGCTTGTGTCTGGCAATCTACAGTTTTAGAAGTAGCAATTAAATTTATGGAAAAACTGATTTTATTGAATGCATTGGGTGAAATGAAACCTTGAAAAATCAGGTGTTACATGTGAAAAGGCTTTTATTTTTTAAATTGCTCCAGGTGTGGGACTATCTATAGCTGAGCAGTACAAATGCCTGCTTAGCATGCACAAGACCTTTGCATTCAACCCATAGTGTCACAAGCTAAAGTTGTATAGATACCTTTAAGAATTTAGAATTCATGAAATCATGAATACAAATACAGTCTTTCTTGAATGAAAGGGTGTTTTTCTTTTTATTTATGTGCATTAGTGTTTTGCCTGCGTGTATATCTGTATGAGGGTGTCAAAAGGGTACCCCAGAACTGGAGTTACAATTGTAAGCTGTCATGTGGGTGCTAGGAATTGAACCCAAGTCCACTGGAAGAACAGCCAGTGCTTTTAACTGTGCTGAGTCATCTCTCCAGCCTTGAAAGGGCTTAGAAAAGTCTTAGGGAAAAAAATGTGTAATAAAGATGTAAAGTTAAGACCTGTCATTGGTGGCGCACGCATTTGATCCCAGCACTTGGGAGGCAGAAGGCAGGTGGATCTCTGTAAGTTTGAGGCCAGCTTGATCTACAAAGCTAGTGTCAGGACAGCTAGAGCTACACAGAGAAACCCTGTCTCGAAAAAAACAAACAAAAAAGATGTAAGGTAAAAGTGAGATTCTTCACTAACTGGATTTTGGAAAGTAGGAATACTGGGCAAATGCACATGCTGTGGCTATTTGGTAAGTGTTCTGTTGGCATTTTTCTTGGTGCTCTTAAGATCCCCATTTATAGCCAGGCACTGGTGGCGCATGCCTTTAATCCCAGCACTTGGGAGGCAGAGGCAGGTGAATCTCTGAAGACCAGCCTGGTCCAGCCTCCAAAAGCCACTGAGAAACCGTCTCTAAAACTACCCCCCCCCAAAAAAAAGATCCCCATTTATGTAAACATGGTGTTCATGAAAGGCACTTTAATGTTCTAACTTTTAAAAAATGGAACTATGCCCCCAAGGGTACAGTACCCAAAGAGGCCAGAAGAACTTGTGTGTGTGGGGGGGGGCTATGGAGCTGTAGTTACAAGTGGTTGTGAGCTGCCCATTTGCATGCTGGGAATGAAACTTGGGCTCTCTGCTAGAGGAGCAAGCACTCCTAAACTGTCAGCGGATGTTACTGCCAGAAAATGAAGGATTAAGATGCCACTGTTGGTAAAAATGAATGTTTTACTTTGACTTGAAATTTAATGTACCCCACAGTTCAAAGATTGACTTCAATTCTAATGGTCACAATCTAGGTATTTTTTTTAATTTGTTGCATTCTTATTTGGTTGTACATATGTAATAAAGCGTTTGTTTCATAATGATGACAGGAATTTGATCCCCAGCACACATAATTTTTAATTTATTCACTTATTTTGGGTGTGTGAGTGTGTTCATGTACAGAGAGACGGGAGAACAACTTTGAATTCTCTCCTTCCCTAAATCCACACTCAGGTGGTCAGGCCTGGGTGGAAATTGCTTTGAGGGTCCAGGGCCATGCTGCGTGCCCTTCCCGGACCCCCAACATCCTTAAAAAAAAAACAAAACACGAGCGGGCATCTGTAATCCTAGAGCTGGGAACCAGGTAGGAGGATGGCTGGCCAGCCTGTCTGGTGAAAGGTGGTCTCGAGGAGACACGTAAAAATAATGAGACCGCCTCCGGACCCAGCAATAATCTAGTAAATGTTGACAGAAAACGTCATGGTTCACATCCTACTAAGAGCAGATAGATGACTGATGGGTAGGTCCTTCTGTCTCGAGTGATCTTTGGTTTGATCCTGTCTGCCCGAGCGATTATTCTCCCGGACTCCTGAGAGCCAAGCTCTGTTCTTCACACAGGGAGGGTAACTGCCGCCCCTCCAGTTGAGTTAAGGGAAGTCAGAAAGCAGATGAACCAGGGCCACTGAGACCTGGAAACGACTTTTGAATTCACTTTGACTTTCGCTCTGGAACCCAGCTTCCAGCGTGTGAAAGCACGTTCGTGTTCTCTAGCCCGGAGCACGGCGGCAAGTCTCGCGAGACTGGGAGCGTCCACCTGCGCGACGTCTCAGCGCGGCCGGACGGTTTGGGTGCGCATGCGTGGCCTCGAGGGCTCGGCGTCCCGGGCTGCGGGCTTGCCCGCGCCACTGCGGCCAGGCACCTATGGCGTTTCTGAGGTGACGCGCTACTGGCACCGACTCTCTCTGGGGGCGGGGGCATCACCCATGAACCCTTCGGCAAACGTCTTCTTCCGGCGCCAGGTGAGCGCCACTGCCCCGGGAGACGGTGCAGAGAGGGAACGGAGCAGCCGTTTCCTCAGCCCAACAAAACCTAGGACCGAGCGACGAAGCGCGAGCACCAGGGCATTGCTGTTGAACGTTGACAGGGACATTGCCCTCCCTCGTTTACTTAACAGTAGCCTGGCGAGTAGACGGACTTTCTTACAGCCTCACTTTGGCAGTGTTGAAAGTGAATTTGCCCAAGGTTTGCATTTATGTATCAGTCTAGGATGACGTGAACTTTTTTTTTTGTATGTGTGGCTTATTGCCTGTTTTCCTCCACCGAACTCCATGCTCCTTGCCTGTCATTTCTAGAGACTGGAATTCAAGGATTGTGACTTGGAATTCCAAGTTCTTGTGTGTGTGTGTGTGTGTATTTAGTTACTAGTCAGCAACGGTAAATCATCATTAGTTGTCTTTTTCAGAATGTCATAGTCATATACGTGAGTCTCCGATGAACCTGTACTGCCCTTCCCACCTGTGTAGGTCATGCTGGCATCACTCACCGCCTCTGCCTCCTGAGTCCTGAGACTATAGGTGTGAGCCACCATATCCCAGCTTTAATTATTGTCTTTAAGTTAGAACTCTTGGGACTAGGTTTGGCTTAGTGGTAGAGTTGCCTAGAATGCACGAGGCAAATTCCATTCCCGCTTTTCATACACAAAAACAGAACATAATTCGGGACCATATGCTTCACAGTACATCTTAATGGTCGTAGCTCAGTGGGTTAAGATTCATTAAACCAAGCCTAATGATTTGTGTTGCCCTGGAACTCATGGTTGTTGTCCTCTGACCTACACACACACACACACACACACACACACACACACACACACACACACACACACACACGAATTAAGCAAGGTGTGGTAGTGCACACCTTCAATCCCAGAAAGTGCTTGGCAAATAAAGGCATACTTATTGCTGTGAGTTCAAGGCCAGCCAGTGCTGCATAGGAAGGCCTTGTTCTACTTGTAATCAATAATAATAGTTAATGTTGAGGGATTACTATATTCGAGGCACTTACATGGCCACAGGCCAGCTGGGTGGTGGTGGTGGTGGTGGCACACATGCCTTTGATCCCAGCACTGGGGAGGCAGAAGCAGGAGGATCTCTGTGAGTTGGAGGCCAGCCTGGTCTACAGAGCAAGTGCCTGGATGGGTTCCAAAACTATACAGAGAAACCCTGTCTTGAAAACCCAAAATAATAATAATAACAACAATAATAATAAAGCTACAGGCCTGTAATCCCAAATCCCAGCTACTTTGGAAACTGGAAAGTTCAAGGCCATGGAGTGAGCCTAAGGGGAGGGCAATTCAGTGAGACTGCATCTTAAAGGGTATATTTTTTTTAAAGCTGTGGGAACTGGAGAGATGGTTCAGCAGTTGATTAGGAGCACTGGCTGCTCTTCCAAAAGACCTAGGTTTGATTCCCAGCGCCTACGGGGTGGCTCATTTCCTACAGAGCTGACATCCACTTCTTACCTCCACAGGCACCAAGCATGGAAGTGGTACACAGATATACATGCAGCAAAACAGTCATACACAAAATTAATAATAAAAATGCTGTGGATATTGCTCAGTGATAGAGCACTTGCCTAAGCATGTGCAAGTCCCTTAGAAAGAATACACGCTTTACAGGTAAAGAAACTAAGTAATTTAAGATTATATAACCACTAAGGGCCCAACTCTGGATTCAGGTTGATAGGAATTGCCATATACTAGACTTTAAGACAGTTATATCCTGGTGGTGACAGCACATGCCTTTAATCCCAGCATTCAGGAGGCAGAGGCCGGTGGATCTCTGAATTCAAGGTCAGCCTGGTCTATAGAGTGAGTTCCAGGATGGCCAAGGCTATACAGAGAAACCCTGTCTCCAAAAATCAAACAAACAAAAGAATTTAAAAAGGTTAGTTACATGTGTTGTAAAATAGTATATGTGTAAAAGGAGTTATTGAAGATACTATTGTTAGGAATGGGAAAGTCATAATGGTTAACAAGCTGGGGATGTAGCTCAGTATTTTTAAAAATCAATACTATTAAAACAAAGTTATACAGCTGTATCAAAATCTTGATAGCAGGAACTTCGATACTTCGATTCTAGAAATGTGAGACTTTATTGTACTTTTGTTACACACACACACACACACACACACACACACAGTTTTTCTGTTTTTAAATTTTTTTTTCCAGAGTTTCAGAGTTTCTCTGTCTTAGAACTAGCTCTGTGGACTAGGCTGACCTCTGCCTGCCTCTGCTTCCTAAGTGCTGAGATTAAAGGCATGCACCACCACAACTAACCTACTTTTTAAATTATGTGCATGCATATGGCATGTGCATATGTGTACACCACTTGCATGCCTGGTACCTGAGGAAGCCAGAAGAGGGCATCAGATCCCCAGAACTGGAGGTACAGACAGTTTTGAGCTTCTTTGTGGGTACTAAGAATCAAACCTGTGTCTTCTGAATCTTTCTACCTTTTTTTAAGTATATATTTTGAGTTTGAACAAACAATATTAAATTGCCCTTGACAGATTGAGTGTATTTCAGTAATGTGTCTGTTAATACTAGGTTTTAGTTATTTTATTTATTTATTTTTGTTGTTATTGCCATAGGGTCTCACTATGTAGTCCTGACTGTCCAGGAACTTGATTTATAGACCAGGCTGGCCTTGAACTTCTAGAGATCCACCTACCTCTACCTTTGGAGTGCTGGGACTAAAGACTTATACCACCACATCCAGCTTATTTTCTCTACCCCCCAACCCCCCGCCACAGGGTTTCTCTGTGTAGCCCTGGCTGTCCTTGAACTCATTATGTAGACTATGCTGACCTCCGAAGTGATAGGATTAAAAGTGTGTGCCACCATGGTGTGGCTATTTTCTTACAGATTAAAATTCCCATTCTTTGATAAGCATTGTTTATAATATTATTAAAAACAATTATTTCATGTTTACCTTTCCTTGAGTACTCCAAACTTTCTAAACTAAGGATTGGGACTGTAACTCACTTAGATCACATGGTCATTAGTGCACCACACAGACAGAAAGGTTACGGCAGGTGTGTGTGTGTGTGTGTGTGTGTGTGTGTGTGTGTGTGTGTGTGTGTGTGTCCACACATGTGTTTAAGTGCTGGAGGGCACAGGACAGAGTAGGGCATAGCATTGTTGACTTGAACAGAAACATTGACAGCAAAGGGGGAAAAAGCAGAAACGGAGTGTATTGTGGTTAGCCAGAAGTTTCAGAAATGGTCCTACTGCCTAAGAACTGTGTGGTATGATGGAAGATGGTAGAGGCAGACTGTGTGGTATAATTTGCTGTATTGCTCTTAAAAGAGGATAAAATTCAACTTCATAATTCAGAATTGACAGCAAAAGAGTATAATTATTTGGAATGTATAGTGTGGATGATGTGTGGCATTGGTTTATCTTGATTCAAAACCACCCTCTATGTTTAGAACATCGGGTCAGAAGTTGAGAGTTCCACTATTGAGAAGCAGCGGAAGGAGCTGCAGGTGCTCATTGGAGAACTGAAAGATCGAGATAAAGAGCTCAATGATATGGTTGCAGTGCATCAGAGACAACTTCTTTCATGGGAAGAGGATCGGCAGAAAGTCTTGACTTTGGAGGAACGTTGCAGCAAACTAGAAGGTCAGAAACACATGCAGCTCCATCTGTTGTATACATCTGTGTGCTAACACTTTGAGATAAAGAATTCAGCTCCTGGGGGCTGGAGAGATGGCTCAGCAGTTAAAGGCACTGACTGTTCTTCCAGAGGTTCTGAGTTCAATTCTCAGCAATCACATGGTAGCTCACAACCATCCAAAATTCGATCTGGTGTCCTCTTCTGGCCTGCAGACAGAACACTGTATACATAATAAGTAAATAAATCTTTTTGTTGTTGTTGTTGTTTTTGTTTTGTTTTTCGAGACAGGGTTTCTCTGTATTGTTTTGGAAGCTGTCCTGGAACTTGCTCTGTAGACCAGGCTGGCCTCAAACTCACAGAGATCCGCCTGCCTCTGCCTCCCAAGTGCTAGGATTAAAGGCGTGCACCACCAAAGCCTGGTAGTAAATAAATCTTAAAAAGAAGGAGAAGGAGAAGGAAAAGAAGAAGGAGAAGGAGAGAAGAACAATTATTCAGCTTCTGAGCTTCTGATGTCCTGGAGTTCAGCCCTGTTGAAGATGGGCTGACTTTATAAACAGCCATGTAGGAAAAGTGCTGGCCAGTTAACATAGAGTGAAGGCTGTGGGTGTAGCTCAGTGGTAGGGAATGCCCAAAGCCCTAGGTTGGTTTAAAAAAACATAGAGAGGGGGTGGCAAGATGGCTCAGTAGGTAAAGGTGTTTGCTACTAAGCCTGAAGACCTGAGTTCAGTCCCTCGTACCTAAACAGTGTGAAGAGAGAGAGTTGACTCCCACAAACTATCCTTTGGTTTTTATAACACACAGGCCTTGGCACACATATGTTCTTATAAATATACCATAAATAAATAACTAATTTAAAAATGATGTGTATGGCACCGGGCGGTGGTGGCACACGCCTTTAATCCCAGCACTCGGGAGTCAGAGGCAGGCGGATCTCAGTAAGTACGAGGCCGGGCTGGACCGACAGCCTCCAAAACAATACAGAGAAACCCTGTCTTGTAAAACCAAAAAAAAAAAGATGTGTATGAGTGTATGTGTGCCTGCATTACATGCATGCAGTGACAGAGGAGGTCAGAAAAGGATGATGAGTCCCCTGGGATTGGATTTATAGGCGCTTATGAACCATTATGTGGGTGCTGGGAATCAAGAAGATCCTCTAGAAGAACATCAAGTACTCTTAACTACTGAGCCATTTCTCCATCCCTTAATAATTTAAAAAGAAACTCAAAGTAGTGCTGGGAATATAGTGTTAAACCTACCAAACAAGAATAAAGACCAACGGTGGATCGTTGGTGGTGCACACCTTTAATCCCAGCACTCGGGAGGCAGAGGCAGGTGGATCTCTGTGAGTTCGAGGCCAGCCTGGTCTACAGAGGGAGTTCTGTATCAAAGCAATACAGAGAAAAACCAAAAAAAAAAAAAAAAAGGGGGGGTGCACCACCGCCAGGCAACCAGAAGTTTAAGATCATCCTTGGCTACAGTAAATTTGAGGCCAGCCTGGGGTTAATGAGACCTTGTCTCAAAAATTCCAAAAATAAAAATAGGGAAATATATAAAAGATTGCTACTTTAACTAATATAAATAGGGCCTGAAAGGTGGCTTAGTGGGTAAAGGCACTTGCTGCCAGACTTGGAGACCTTAGTTCAGTCCCCAAGAACCTCATGGTGGACGGAAAGAACCAGTTCTTGCAAGTTGACCTCTGACCCCCACATGCACTGTGACCTGCATAAGCATGTACGCACACATAATAAATGTAATTTAACCAGTGTAAACAATCCTGTGTGGTGGGTCTGCATTTCTAGCTAATAGTAGAGTCTGGTCCTCTAAAGTGGAGTTACAGGCAGTTGTGAGCCCCCACTGTGGGTGCCAGGAACCAAACTTGAAATCTCAGCAAGAGCAGTATAAGTTCTTTTTTTTTTTTTGAGTGAGAAGTTTTATTAGAAAGGGGAGGGAGGGGGGAGGAAAAAGAAAGGAGATAAAGAGAGACAGAAAGGACGGAAGAGAAGAGGGAGACAGGAAAAGTCCTGTCTGCCCCAGGCAACAGCAGGAAAGGAGCAGTATAAGTTCTTAACTTCTGAGTCATGTCTTCAGTGCTTTGTGCTTTTCTTTTCTCCTCCTTTTTTTTTTAATTTTTGAAAGGGTGTTCTGTAGTTCAGGCTGGTTTTGAACTTGCTTTGTAGCAAGGAATACTCTTGAGCTCCTAATCTTACTGTCTTTACCTGCCTGGTGCTGGGCTGCTGGAATTACAGATGCCATGCCTGGGTTAGGGGGTCTGCATTTCTAGCAATTTCCCCAATGCTTCGGGGTCAGGGACCACAGTTGGAGTAGCAAAGCAAATGTGCCTCATTTTGTGCCTCAAGACGTATAAATGGACATTCAGAGCAGCACTATTCAACAGCTGCAGAGTGGGCACAACTTAGATAATCACTAAGAGTAGAGAAATCCGTGTTGGTGTTACAATCTCACAGACTCTCACGTAGCAGCAGCGTTAGTGATAAACACAGTTACAACATGGGTGGCTCTCAGGATCTTAATGTCAGGCAAAACAAGTGAAGAGACAGACTCTTGAATATAATTCCAGCTGTGTGTGGCCCGGAGTGTGCTTTGAGGTGGATGCAGAGATAGGAGAACAGTAGCAGTAAAAGCAAAGGGGGTGGGGCTCAGTGGTGGGCAGATTGGTGCCTGGCATCCCATCCTCAGCGTGAGGAGTGGGTAGGCAGCAAGGAAGGGACTAGCCTAAGATCAGGGCAGTGACCTAGAAAGTGCAAATTAAGAGCGATTGTGTTTAAGGAGGCGACTTCTGGGTTGGTGCCAGTGTTTATTTCTGGAATACTTATTAGGTATTGTGCATTTCACAATAAGATGTTTTTAAAATGTTTAAACACACCTTTACTTGAGAATGCTGCCTGTCACATCCGAGTACAGAAGTGGTGATTGAAATCTCCCTCAGGTGAGCTACATAAAAGAACTGACATTATCAAGTCTCTCATGAAGAAGGTCAAAGTCCTTGAATCCAATCAAGCAGATTGTCAGACAGCTCTTCAGAAGACCCAGCAGCAGCTCCAGGAAATGGCTCAGAAGGCCACACATTCTGCCCTCCTCTCAGAAGACCTTGAGGTTGGTTTTAATTTTTGATGCGCTTCATAAGTCCAAATTCTGGGTTTCAGTTACAGAAAAATTAACTTTCATTGTCACCATTAAAAATGGATATGTGTGTATGGAAATTTGCAGTGTGTATTGCGTCTATCTTAGCTTTGTGTTCCCCATGCTTTCTGGCTAGCTGCACAGTGCTGTTCTGTCCTGGAGGCAAAGTTTCATCACAACCCATAAGGGGTTTGCTGTTTGGTGTAGAAGTATTGTCCATTTTACTAACAATGGGCTATTTGAGAAAAACTTTCTCAAGTCTGAAATAAGTACCTTCAAGTTTTGGTAGCTTCAAATTTGGCTTTCTAAATTCTGAACCCCTCCCCTCCCCTCCCCTTCCCTCCTCTCTCTTTCCCTTCCTGTTTATTCCTCCTCCCTTCCCTTTCCCCCTCTCTCTTCCTTTCCCCTCTTCTTTTGCTATAGTGGAGATTAAACCTCGAGCCTTGAAGACGGGAGTCCTTTACATTCCCAGTGGGTTTTTTGCTTTTTTTTTTTTAAACAGGTTTCCTTTAGTCTCCTCTAGCTAGTGTTGAACTGCAGTCCTCCAAACTCAGCCTTTCAAGCACTGAGATTAACCTAAAGTCTATCTGATACAATGAATATACCCATACCAAAGCTAGTAGCATATTTGGGATAAAATTGGTAAGATTGCGTTTTCTGTATTTCATTCTTTCTTTATTATTATTTATTTGTTTATTATTATTGTTTGTTTGTTTTAGATAGTCTCACAGTGTAGCTCAGGCTGATCACAAACTTGTAATCCTGACTCAAGCTTCCTGAATACTATAACAACAATTTATCCTACTATGCCCAGCCAAGCTATAATTTTAGAACAGTTTTAGGGTTACAGTAAAATTGAATGGCAATTACAGAGTTCCCATGTCTGCTATAGCCACACACAGCCTCCCCCACTTCTGATGCTCTGCATCACAATGGCCTGTTTGCTGTAACTGGTGAATTCGGGTGGATGTATCATTATCACCCCAAGTTCAGTTTAGGTAATGGTTCACCTTTTGTGTTTTTCTTTCTATAGGAGTTTTGCAAATGTATATTGGCAAATTGAACCAAACTCACTGTAAAGTTCTTTTAACCTGGATATTAAAAAAAGATGTGCAGAATTCATTAAGGCCACTTCCTCTATGGAAATTCAGTTCTCATTCCTTCATTATCTTTTTTCTCAACCTAAAATTGTGAATAAAAAATAGGAAAAGGACACGAGTCATGAAAGAAAACAGGATATATATATATTAGTTTCAATTGTCATAGTTTTTTTTGTGATGGATAGTGAATAAAAAGTAAATTGATAGTGAAAGTCATAAAATCATAAGCAAAGCTCCATGGCTTCAGAACAGCCAGTCTGTGTTCATGGAAAGGCATAGAATTTGGGGCTGGGATTCTTTAAACCAGCTGTGTGGTGTTTTGTTTGTGAATTAATTAAAATAAAACGATTTTACTTAAAAATAAAAATAAATTTATAAATTTAACCAATATAAACCAGTGCAAGTTAGAATAATTGCTAAGTATTGAGAGAATAATATCTAGAGTTAATACAAAAATAGGTATTTGTACTTTTTTGATGATGGCTTACTTAGTCCACTTTGTTCCTTAAAAATGTTAAATTTAAAAAAATAGAGAAATGAGTGCTGATTGTGGTTAGTAACATAATGAAAGCATTTGCAGACTCAATATTTTCTGTGTTTTTCCTTGTAGGCTAGAAATGAAAATCTCAGCAGCACGTTAGTGGAACTCTCTGCTCAGGTAGGACAGTTGCAAGCTAGAGAACAGGCTCTCACTACCATGATAAAGCTAAAGGTAATTGAAATGCCATCCCTCCACTTCCAGAGCACTCTGTAGCTTGTGGAGCTCACCCATAACTCCCTCTCCCCCCAAGTCCTAGCAGCCCAGAAACAGAGCTGCTGACATTGCTAACTTCATCTTCTCCTTTCAAAAATGAAAGAGAGGTTTACACGGTGCTCCCAAAACTTCTGCACTTAATCTCAGAGAATCTGTTCCCTCCCCAGGTCTCTGCTGTAGGTCTCCTGAAGATACTGACCATTAGATGCTTGTGAGTCTTTTATTAGAACAAGAGGGAAACTGGCAGCTGCCAGACCGTGGTAGAGTGTGAAGCAGGGGCTCCCCAGAGAGAGTGGGTGCTTCCCTGCCTCATGCATGCATCTTTGGCAGTTGCTAAGCAGGGGATAATGTTGGTATAGTGAGACATTTGTATGTATTCATCTATAATTTTCCCTAACATTAACGTTAGGGTATGATCATGAGCAAACTTTCTGAAAATGAAAGAAAAATATTAAAATTTGTAGAATTAGCTTTAGGTGAGATAATGACCAGGATGATGTCCATCACAGCACTGGCAGAGCCTGTGAAACAGTGCAGATGTTTCCAACAGTTTCCCCCATGTTAGGACGGTGTGTTTATAAAGAAGCATCACACCCACAACCAAAGTTCTAATTGAGCAAAGTGTCTTTGCTAGAAGCACATGCTTATTCAGGCAGTCTTAGGGACACTTGCTGAAATACCATGATTAACAGGTATACCTTCCTGAGCACACCCACTTCTCCAGCAGCACCACACATGCATTCTAATAAAAACCTCATGTGCTAGGCAAGTGCTCTACCACTAAGCTACCTCGACCACTTACTGTGGTACATTAGTTCTGATTAGAATTGCTTTTCAGTAAGCAGATGCCTTTTTTAAACGTTCAGACAGCTCCAACCACAAAAACTTCTAATGCAGCAGTGTGATTGGATGAGGTCTTACGAGTCTGTCCCTTTAACAAGCTGGATGTAGGTAGGAAATGTTGGCCCCACAGAACTTACCTGTGATCCAGAGAATGACATCCCCATCAAAGAACACTCAACTCATCACTTGCTGAACAATCAAGCCTGGTTCTTGCTAGGTGTGGTGGCACATGCCTCTAATCCCAGTACTCAGAAGCAGAAGCAGGAGTATCTCTGTGAATTTGAGGCCCACCTGGTCTACAGATTGAGTTACAAGATAGCCTGGAAAAAAAGAAAGTCTGATTTATTTTCAAGAGAAAGGCCAGCCAAGTAAACTGAAATGGATGCTTTAGTGCCAGGTTCAGATATGAATTTTTTTGTGTCTGCTGATTCCTTTGCCACTTGGTGCTACCATAGAGTTACAGCAACTGAGTTAACCTGAGAGGCATTTAGAAAAGAACTCACTACACACTAAGTCTAAGTAAGAACAACCTTACTGACTATTTAGAATGTAAAAATCTAGACTAACAGTTTTCTCCTTGGTTTTTAGGACAAAGATATTATTGAGGCAGTCAATCACATTTCAGACTGTTCAGGTAAATTTAAATTGTTAGAGCATGCTTTACGTGATGCTAAGATGGCAGAGACATGCATTGTGAAAGAAAAGCAAGATTATAAGCAGAAATTGAAGTCACTTAGGATTGAAATCAATAAACTGAAAGGTAAGAAAAACTTTAAGATAGTAGTACATTGTCTTGGGAATTTATTTCTTTATCTGAGTTCTCTTACTCTTATACTTGAGAGCGAGTTTATTCCTGGGTATGAATCCTAACATGCAATGTCTTGTTTCATTTATATAGAATTATGTCCAGGGTGAAATGCTTCATAAGACAGTGGCAGGGCTGGAGAGATGGTTCATTGGTTAGAGCACCGGCTGCTCTTCCTGAGGACCCAGGTTCAATTCCCAGCATCCACATGGCAGCTCACAGCTGTCTGTAACTCCAGTTCCAGGGGATCCAGCCCTCTCACACAGATGTGCATGCCATATATGCAAGCAAAACACCAGTGCACATAAAATAAAAAATAAATCATTAGAGACAGTGACTTAGTCTTCCTGGACATAGTCGAGCTTGAGCATAATGTGGAGAGAAACTGCTCCCTATTCTCAAACTAACTTGTTTTAACTAAGAGACTCTGAAATTTGATCCAGGCATAATAAATAGTACAGGCTCCAGTACATGAGAGGTAGAGGCAGGAGGGCCACCAGTTCAAGGTTGTCCTCCACTACACAGGGATTTCAAAGGCCAACCTAGGCTACGTGTATGCTCCTGTCTCAACCCCACCTCCTAAATCTGAAAATTTTTTTCCTGACCAAGTTAATGTAACAGTCTTGGCCTTCCCATGCCTTCACCAATTGTCCTAAGTCCTGTCTCCATTTGTTTCATCAGCTAAAGTCATCATTTCATAAGCCCTATGGCAGTAATGGGATTATGTCTTTGGGTTAGCACAAGACCAAGGATACATTGTGGGTCACCAGTGTTTACTGAGTATATGTGTGTGCCAATCAGGATGTTCAAGAAGTCTGTGGTGTCAATATTTATATATTACAAATATTTGATTAACTCAATATTTATTTAAAACATTTTAAAAGTAGGGTAATGGGAAATAGAACAGAGAGCAAGGGAGAGAAACTCATTTAGTCCAGGTTGGCTGAGAAAGTAGATTTGGAGAGTTAGCATTTGAACTCTAACTGGACCTCCACTGAGAACCTTCTAAGCAGAAGGCCTAGAGTAGATTGTAAGTGGGGCCATTCTGGGTTTGTGTCCTTCCGTCTTGGAAAAAGGAGCTCTGTATTTCTCCTTGCTAGTTGGATGTGTAGACATCCAGTTCAGTTTTTTGCTTTGGATGCTGTCTATGTACCTGGAGTTAGTGATGATCCCACAGGTTCATGTCTATGAGACTGTTCCCACTTAAGACACCAGTCCTAAATTCCAGGGGAGCCTTACATATTTCTGACCAACCAGCTGGCAGTAAAGCAAGGTTCCCATAACCACCTGAGCAGCCTCCATCATTTTCTGAGCCCCATCATTGAAGAAAACCCAGGGAAGCACTTTTCCCCATTTCTGTCTGAAACTCTGGAGCTGCAGATGGAAGTGGCTTCCATGTGCAGAGCTCCTAGGTCCTCTCCCAAAACAAAACCTGAACCCCTCCACATGTATGTAGCTGGGGCTCTCTGTCTCAAGTCCTCTGGAGCCTTTATAGAGAGCTCTGTCTTCAGCTCTCCCCTTGGTTCGGAGGCTGGTGGGTAAGGCTGAAAGTTCCAGCCCTTGATGGCCTGTGAACAGTGGGTTCCAGATGCTAACTAGGTCCCTTTTTTGTTTCATTTAGCTTTGTTTTTTTTGAGCCAAGGTTTTATCATATAGCATAGCCCAGGGTAGCCTCAAATTTGTGATCCTCTTACCTCAGTTTCCTGAGCGCTATCATTATCAAAGGAGCTTCTTTTGAATGACAAGACACATTTATCACTCAGGATATTCCAAGAGATCCAGAAGCTGTTCACCAAGACTGGAGAACAAAATCCAAATTATTTTTTCTTTATCTCAGAGGCAGTCAAGGAACTGAGAGGAAGAAGGGAAGAGAGGTAGGGAGCAGGGAAGGCCTTGTCACTGTGGGTTTTGCTGGTTACAGTAATGAATTTGGGTTTCATCCAAGTGCCGCAGGGAGGGCTTCTTATCAAACATGACACAAAGAGTTTTTATTTTTAAAGATTGTTCTGTGTCCCCTGGGTGTAGCTAGAGGGGCCAGGCCAGAGCCAGGAGGCTGTCCAGACCAGAGATAATGAATTGCCCAGCTATAGTAGACCCAACAGGGTCCTCAGAGGCCGCTGAGCAACTGGAGGTTTTGTGTAGCATCTGTGTTTCCTAGGAGACTGGTATTTACCTGAGGATTTTTCTTCCTTCTGCTTATGAAGAGGAACTAAATGAAAAGACAACAGAAAACAATGAACAACGAGAAGAGATCATTCGCCTCAAGCAAGAGAAAAGTTGCCTGCATGACGAATTAATTTTTACTGGTAAAAGAATAAGATTGAAGTATTTGAATAGTTGAATGTTTGTACCTCAGCTTTTTATCACAGGCTAAAGGATGTATACCCCCTTAAAAATAAGCTTTTGGGTGTTTTCCCCTGTCTTTTGGGTTTTAACAGGTTTTTTTTAAATGTTGTTTTTTGTTTGTTTTGTTGTGTTTTTTTCTAGACAGGGTTTCTCTGTGGCTTTGGAGGCTGTCCTGGAACTAGCTCTTGTAGGCCAAGTTGGTCTGGAATTCACAGGGATCCTCCTGCCTCTGCCTCCCTAGTGCTGGGATTAAAGGCGTGCATCACCACCGCCTGACAAGTTTTAACAGTTTTAAAAATATTGATTTATGTTTTTTTGAGATAGAATTTAACTATGTAGTCCTGGCTGTAGACCAGACTGGCTTCAAACTCACAGAGATCCTAGTGCCTCTGCCTCCTGAGTGCTGGGATTCAAGGCGTGCACCACCATTTCCTAGTTTCAACATTTTTGTTCTTCCTCCAAGTAGATGTTTTTTTCCCTGTAAAGTGTAGGTACATCTTGTCCAGCTGTTTTTCTCCCTGTAAAGTGTAGGTACATCTTGTCCAGCTGGGATAGGTCATTATTATGCTTCCGGAGAAAAAGAAAACACTCCTGCTGGAAAGCCCTGGGCTCAGTCCCCATCAGTAGCCGGGCCTGGTGGCATATAACTTGTTTTTGTTTTTTTTTTAAAGATTTATTTATTTATTATGTATAGTGTTCTGTCTGCATATATTCCTGCACACCATAAGAGGGCACCAGATCTCATTACAGATGGTTGTGAGTCACTATGTGGTTGCTGGGAATTGAACAGCCAGTGCTCTTAATCTCTGAGCCATCTCTCCAGCCCAGTATATATCTTGTAATTTCAGAACTTAGAAGGTAGACAAGAAGGATCAGCAGTAACATCATTTAAAGAGAATCTTACGGATTGATGAGGGGAGGGTGTTTATAGTTTCACAAATGTTAAGTAAACAATCAGGAGTTCAAAGGGCTGGGGTGTAACCTACTGTGCAGAATACTTACCTAGCATTAGACTTGGCATCCAGCACTGAAACCTTTTTAAGAATTCAGCATTAAGTTTTGCAAATTAACTATCTTCAGTTACTGAGTTGGGGAAACACTCAGGTGTATTGTTGCATTGGTATAACTCAGAGTAAGAAAGCTAGGCACAAATCTTCTTTATTAGTTAGTATCATGTGTAATTGACCCAGACCTTCCCATCACATACCACCTTCCTTATCACTGCCCTGCCATGTTACCTAAGACTTCCACTGTAAATTCCTCTACCTTCTCACTGTGGACATTGAGCTTGTTCATACACCTACACACCAAGGTTTCCCTAGGCTTTCATTTCAGCAGTTGTGCTTGGAAAATCATAGTTTTGGAGGGAGAACTAAAGAGAAAATTGGATGAACATTTTTGGTCCAGTCTTTCTTTTCCTCAATCCCCCTCCTTTTAAGAGAAGAATAAATTCCTACAGTAAAATACAGCATTACCTTTAGAATTTTCTAATACAATGAAATCGTTCATTTTCAACTGCCTCTTAAGGACTAGGGCAGTTTTGCCACTAGAGGTCTCTGTGTTCATTATTTCTGGGATTTCTGTCTTGGTTGTCCTTGTGTGTAACTAAAGATACACATTACAGTTGAAATCAGACAGTCTGGGTGAGCCTGTATGTGATCCCACTAAAGCTCAAACACTCACAGGCCACAGAGAATTAGAAATAAGCAAATGCTACAAAGACACTGCTTGATTTCCTCTAGTGTATTCTGAGGTATATTGCCGAAGGTGAATATCATACAAGCCTTCAGCTACCTACATATTATATTAAGACACATACATACATACATACATAATGATACTTCGTGGGAAGGTGAGAGGATGAAGTCTAGTTTACAGTGTATTTTATACCACCAGCCCCAAATTTGGTCTTGAACTGAGACTTATAGGTGTGTACCATTGCATCTGGTCCACCCTTTATTCATAAATATAAAAGTCTCCTTGATTCATAAAATGTATGAGACTTATTAAATAAAACTGTAATCCATTTTGGGAAATAACTTTTACAAAATTTCTTTAACTGATTGCCTTTCTATTGAAGACAATTATGCATTGTTGTTTCAAGAACGGTTTTTGTATGTTTTAATTATAAAAGAAAATTGAGGGGGCTAGGATGTACTTCAGTTGGTAGAGTGCTTGCCTGCCAATCCCCAGCATCACAAAAACCAAAGTGTAGTGGACTGCAGTGGTGCACGCCTTTAATCCCAGTGGACAGAGGCAGAGGCAGGTAGATCTCTGTGAGTTTGGGGCCAGCCTGGTCTACATACTCAGTTCCAGGACAGCCAAAGCTACATGAGACCCTGTCTCTAAACAAATGAACAAAAACAGTGAAAAAAATGTGTATGAGTATGTGGTATAGGTATACATCTGTAATCCCAGCACTCAGACGCAGGAGGGTCCAAGGGTGCAAGGTCAGCCTCAGTTATGCAGTCAGTTTGAGGGCAGCCTGGACTGTGTGAAACCCTAAATTTAAAACAAAACAAGAGCTTGGGATGTAGCTCAGTGGTAAAGCCCTTGACTGGCATGTTCAAGGCTCTGGGCACACATAAAAATAAATACAGAATTAGATAAGTGAATAAGAGTTGAGGGTATGTGTGCAGCTCAGTGTTTGAGTACCTGCCTAGTATACACTGAAACCCTGGATTCAATACTCAGTGGAACAAAAGTGAGTGGAGTAACAAAGAATTTTAAAAGGCTTACTGTGGACATGCCATCAAGTTCTGTGGAAGTTCTGTGGCAGAAACTTGGCACATTTATCATTGGAAGATGTTCTAAAGTTTTGCTTTCAAGTTCAGAACTTTGTTTCCTCCTGTTGAAAATGAAGTTCTTCACATAGGCTTAGAGACATGTTCCATTTATTTGTACCAACTTGTCATAAGGAGCTTGCTGGAAGGATGATTCAGTGTGTCTTGTGTGCTGCGAATGAGGCTTGTCCCACTGAAGTCCTTCCTCAGGCTGTAGTCAGTACAAGGCAGAGCCTCAGGTAGACACAGACCCCAGAATGCCCTCCTCTGTGCTGTGCTGTGCTCAGGCAGAGCTATCAGCACAGCTTCACATCTTTGTAGAAACAGAGAGACCCACTGCACTCTGATCCCTTAGCTAAGCAGCTTTGTAGACCATTGTCTGGACTAAGGAAGCATGGCTATTTATGCTAGAATTGCTTCCTGTGCAACAGAAGGTTGTTGTAAAATCCAGTGTTAAACTGGGTGTGCCTGGAATCCCAGCCCTTGAGAGGTAGAGGCAGAAAGACCAGGGCTCAGGGCCTACTTTGGCTACAAAAGGTGGTAAAGGTCACCTTGAATTACATAAGAGCCTGTATCAAATAAAGTAAACTAAAATAAAATAAGATAAAACACAATGGAGCTGGGGAGGTAGCTCAGTGGTGACTAGTACTTGCTCTGTAATTCTGAGGACCAGATGGATCCTAGCACCTAGCACCAAACCAGGCATCCCTGAAATGACCCAGCTCTGAGGGGAACAGAGACTTGAGAATCTTTGAGGCTTGCTGACTTCAAGCCTAGCTATATCCATATTTAACCAGATTCAGGGAAAGACCTTGCCTCAAAGAAATAGGTGAAGAATAGGCTCTTGAGATTACGCATTCAGTAAAAGCATTTGCTGCCAAGCCTGAGCATCTGTGTTTAATACTTGAGACCTCTATGGTTGGAGGAAAGAACAGATTCTTGCTCTCTGACCACCACATGTACAACTTTGTATGTAGACCACAGGATGGCTCAGTGAGTAAAAACGTTTGCTGACAAGGCTGATAAACTGAGTTAACCCCCAGGACCCACATTATAGAAGAGAACTAAGTCCCAAATCTTATGACCTCCATAAGTGTGCCATAGTACATGTGTGTTTGCAGTTACTTTAAGTCAATAAATTATTTACTACTTATAAAAATATACATAGACCCCAGGAAAGAGCCCTCAGTTGGTTATCAACACTAAGTGGTCAGTCAGCCTTGAAATTATATGTAGCCAAGTAACAGGGTTTTTTTGTTTTGTTTTGTTTTGTTTTGTTTTTTTGTTGTGTGTGTGTGTGTGTGTGTGTGTGTATAAAAACACAAAGAAAAAGAGGTCAAGAATTTGAAAGAGAGAAGGGGCTACAAGGGAGGGATTGGTGAGAGGGAAGGCAACAGAGGAAATTATGTAATTTTATTTTACTTTTAAAGGAATTATCATTAAAAAAAAGATGGAAAGTAATGCCTCCCTCCTCTGCTCTCCAAGCATCTCATATACACTCATAGACATATACAGATAGACAAGTAGAAATAAATTCTAGTCACAAAGTAATACTAAGATCAGAAATTAGGGGCTGGAGAATTGGCTCAGAGGTTAAGAGCACTGACTGCTCTTCCAGAGGTCCTGAGTTCAATTCCCAGCAACCACATGGTGGCTCACAACCATCTACAATTCAATCTGGTGCATGCCCTCTTCTGGCACGTAGACAAACTGTATCTGTAATAAATAAATAAATCTAAAAAAAGATCAGAAATTAATGTTAAATTACAATGTGTTTGTTTACTTGTTTATTGTGGTTTTTGTATGTTTGTTTGAGTACAGGTCTTATGTGACCAAGGGAAGCTTTGAACTTCTGATTCTTCTGCCTCTACTTCCCAAATGTTGGAAGTATAGGTGTGCACAGGCACACCAGCTTCTAAAGTTTGTTTATTTATTACATCTTTTTAAAAATGTGTATGTATGTTTGCCTGCTTGTATATCTGTGTGTCATTTGCATGCCTGGTGCCCAAGGGACCAGTAATGGCATCAGATTCCCTGAAATGGAATTACAGATTGTTATGATCTGTTATATGGGTGCTGGAACTGAACCAGGTCCTCTTAAGTACAGCCAGTGTTCTTAACTGCTGAGCCATCTCTTCAGCCTCGACAAGTTTATTTTCAGTGGAGTTGTAATTCATTGTATTGCCTAGAAATGTAGCTCAGTGTTAAAGTTGCTCAGTATATTTTAAACATGCTACAGGCCTAGATTTGATCTCTAACACCACTGATAGTTGTAATAATAATACCACATACTTATGAAGCACAGTGTGTTAATTTAACACACACATATAATAAGGTTTAATTCTATGGTCGCTTAAATGAGAATATGCCCTAAAGGCTCATATGTTTGAGTACTTAGTGCTCAGTTGGTGGAACTGTTTAGGAAGGATGATATTATATGGCCTTGTTGTAGGAGGTTTGTCTTTGGGGGTGAGCTTTGAGGTTTCAAAACCCTATGTCATTTCTGGTGAGCTCTCTCTGTCTCTTTTTTTAAAAGATTTTATTTTTTATTTTAAATTATGTGTAATGTGTGTTTGTGTGTGTGTCTATGTGATTGCAGTGCTCTGGAGGCTAGAAGAGGGCATACCTGGGGTTGGTGTTACAGGTGGGTGTGAGCTGCCTGAGATGGGTCCTGGGAACTGAACTTGGTTCTTTGGAAGAGCTAAGTAAGCATCCATAACCACTGAAAAAAATCTCTCCAGCCATTTCCCTCTGTCTCTGTCTCTGTCTGTCTTTGTCTCTCTGTCTCTTAATGGTTTTTCGAGACAGGGTTTTTCTGTGTAGCAGCCCTGGATGTCCTAGAACTCACTTTGTAGACTAAGCTGGCTTTGAACTCTCAGAGATCCACCTGCATCTGCCTCCCAAGTGCTGGGACTAGAGGCATGTGCCATCACTGCCTGACTTTTCTCTACCTCTTGCTTGTGGGTAAGGATTTAAGGTCTCAGCTGCTGCTATGCTCCCCACCATGATAGTCATGGACTCTAACACTCTGGAATTGTAAGCCAAGAAGCTCTTTTATGAGTTGTCTTGGTCATAGTGTCCCTTCACAGCAATAAAAAGTAACTAAATAACTAACTGATATACTAAGTATTAAGTAAAGTAACTAAAACAAATACCAAATAATTCCATTTCTATCTCTTGGTATTAGTTTATCTATTTATGTATTTATTTAATTTTGTTTTTCAAGACAGGGTGTCTCTGTAGCTTTGGAGCTAGCCCTGGAACTCGCTCTCAACACCAGGTTAGCCTTAAACTCACAGAGAAGATCCACCTGCCTCTGCCTCCCGAGTGCTGGGATTAAAGGTGTGCGCTACCGCACTCGGGAGGCAGAGGCAGGCGGATCTCTGTGAGTTCGAGGCCAGGCTGGACTGACAGCCTCCAAAACAATACAGAGAAACCCTGTCTCGTAAAAAAAAAAAAAAAAAAAAAGGTGTGCTCCACCAATGCCCATCTTGTTTTTGTAATGTATGTTGCCAATACTATTCACTAACTCTTGGCCTCAAATGATTTTCATGTATCAGACCTGGAGTAGCTGGGAACACAGGTGCACATCATTAAGCCCAGTTTGTTAAAAATAAATTCCTAGGACTGGAGAGATGACTCAGTCATTAAGAGCAATGCCTGCTCTTCCAGAGGACCCAGATTTGATTACCAGCACTCACATGGCAGCTATCAGCTCACAACTGTCTGTAACTGCAGTTCCAAGGGATCTGGTTCCCTCTTCTGCTTTGAAGTCATGCATGTGGCATACAGATATACATATAGGCACTCACATACATATAATTTAAAAAGTGGAATCTTTAAAAATAAATAAAAGTCCTCATAATCCCAACAGTTTAGAGACTAAATTCAAGGCCAGCCTGGACTGATAGAGGGGTGCTGTGTCAGTGAGTAAAGATAATGGCTGTTTCTCAAGACCTGCTTTCAAACTTTGGTTTTCACCTCCTCCTCCCAAGTGATGGAGTTACAGGTGTGTGATCCTATGCCTCACTTGCTTTCAGGTGTCCTGTGTATGTACTTTCCTGTAAGCACATGAGTATACTTTCAGCCCTTTTTTTGACATTAGTTACATTGTGCATTTTCCTGTTTCATGACGGATTCAGTCAGAGTCACACATGACAGCTCTTCTGCAGTTCTTAAGTTTAAGAGCCACAACAAAAGTGTTAGTCGTTAAATCCTTAGAACCTAATCGGTGTGTGTTGATATTGCTGATGAAAAATACCCAATCATTTTTGTTCTTAACACAGCTGAGAGAGAAAAGAGGAAAGATGAGTTACTTGATATTGCAAAGTCAAAGCAAGATCGTACTAATTCAGAGCTACACAATCTGAGACAGGTATGGCTCAGCTGTCCACTGTGACAATAGTTGGGAAATGGTGGGGAATTCATTTGTGTCTCTGCCTCCTGAGTGCTGGGATTAAAGGCATGCACCGCCACCACCCAGCACCTGTTGATTGTGTTAATGGTGCCTCCTAGATCTTCACATCAGGCATGTCATATTTAGCAGATATCTTGGCTGCGGGAACTAAAGGTCAGGAGATGAGATGTGTGGAAATATCCTGCTGCGACCATTGGAAACAGCAAAGCAAACCATCTGGTCTGTTATAGGATTTCAAAGTGCCAAACTGTTGATTCAGTTTGGATTTGTTTTTATTGTATTGATTTGTTGACATCTCTGGCAGATTTACGTAAAACAACAGAGTGACCTGCAGTTTCTTAATTTCAATGTAGAAAATTCTCAGGAATTAATACAGATATATGACTCAAAGATGGAAGAATCAAAGGCCCTGGAATGCAGGTAATCTTAGCCAATGGTGTTGATGTTGATATTTACTGCCTCATTAGGTCATTTTACTCTGTGCTTGCTGTAAGCCAGTACCTGTTGCTATTACTGGTGTAGTAGGAAATAAATCTGTATACACTAATAATTAGGATAATCCTGGTGCTATGGGGGGCCTGATGTAAGAATTTTAGGTGTGATCTGTAGGTGTTGACTAGTCATCTAATAAAAATAAAACCATAGACCAGGTTTATTGTGTGTGTGTGAGAGTAAGAGGCTCTGAGCTGGAGTAGACACTACAGAGATAGGCAGGCCTCTGTTAATGCAGCACTTCCATTGTGTAGGCAACAGGCTTACCATAGGGAACAAAATCTATAGGACTTGGCACCAGTCTCAAAGAATAATGCAAAGAATAGCCTCAGTGGCCCTTGGCTGTGAAAAGAATTGGTGGGGATGATTATTAATCTGAAGAGTAGCCTGATAATGCCCATATCTACCACAGTGAAGTTCATTTCCTTTCTTTCTTTTTTTTTTTAATGTTTTTGAGATATATTCTCACTAAGTCATCTTGGCTGGTCTTGAACTGATGGCATTCTTCGCCATTGTGCCTTCCTTCCTTCCTTCCTTCCTTCCTTCCTTCCTGCCTGCCTGCCTGCCTGCCTGCCTGCCTGCCTGCCCTTCTTTCTTCCTCCTCCTCCTCCTTCGTGTGTGTGTGTGTGTGTGTGTGTGTGGTTTATAAATACTTTTTTAAAGATTTATTTATTTATTATGGATACAGTGTTCTGCCTGCATGCAGGCCAGAAGAGGGCACCAGACCTCATTACAAATGGTTGTGAGCCACCATGTGGTTGCTGGGAATTGAACTCAGGACCTCTGGAAGAGCAGCCAGTGCTCTTAACCTCTGAGCCATCTCTCCAGCTCCTACCTCTGTGCATTTCAAGAAGAGGGATTGGGGTCTCCCCAGTCTGCAGGAGACTATGATGTCTGGACTAAATTGTCAGTGACTGGTGACTCCAGTTCTTCACCGGCAGTAGCTGCAGGGACAGGGCATATGGGTTGTAACTGCAGCTGCCAGCAGGATTCACTGTGCTGCGCTGTACTCCTGTCCTCATGCCTTCTGCAGGGATTGCCACTCTGTTGCTCTGTGTCCCATCTAATGCTGCCACCAGCAGACCCCTGGCCCATGCAGTGTTCTCTGTCAAGCTTTTGACATATGTCTTTTTCCTCTTTGAATTTCATTGCCACTGGGAGGTACTGGAGGAGTTGAGATTGCTTCTTAGAAGTGATTGATGCCATGGCTGGTGGGATGACTCCAGAGGTGGTAATGGCACTTATCACCAAACCTGAAGACCAGAGTTCAATCACCAGCACCCATGTGGTGGAAAGAGAAGCAACTGCCATAAGTTGTCCTCTGATCTCCATTCTCTCTCTCTCTCTCTCTCTCTCTCTCTCTCTCTCTCTCTCTCTCTCTCTCTCTCTCTCTCTCTCTCTCTCTCTCACACACACACACACACACACACAATCAACCAATCAATCAATCAATCAATCAATCAATCAATCAATGTATAAAGTTAGCCAGGCTGTGGTAGTAGATGTCTGTAATCCCAGCACTCGGAGGCAGAGGCAGGCAGGTCTTTGTGAGGGAGGTTGAGGCCAGCGTCATCTACAGAGCAAGTTGCAGGACAATCTCTGATAGGGAAAATCTTAGAGGAAGGCATGGTAAAGGTCTTGTTACATTTCTCTAGTAGTCTTGATTTTGTTGTTGCTTTGATGGAAATGGGAGGGGAATGTAGGATTGGTGTTCAGAAAGACTTCCTATAGGAGGTGGGGCTGGAATTGGGCTCTGAAATTCAGACTAATGGGTTTTATTGGGCTTTAGGTCTACTAATGAGGCTTGCTTGGGGGAGGTAATACTAGTGGATGATAGTATCAAGTCTATCTTATAACTCCTATTTTTTTGTAATGTCACTGTAGCAGAGACATGTGTTTATCAGACCTTGACAATAACTACCCAAAAATCGATATTAAGAGAGAGAGAAATCAGAAGTCATTGGTTAAGGATCAAAAGTTTGAGGTCACGTTGGCTCAGCAAAATAGGTCAGACAAGAGCTCTTGTGATGAATGCAGAGAGAAGAAGCTACAGGTTAATACTACGTTTGGGGAAAAAAGTGTAATTGCTCTCTCATCTCTATTTACCAAAGACTTACTGGAGAAACAAAAGTCTTGGTCTCTGGGTGGAAAAATCCAGACTGAACCCGAAAACAAAATTACACTATGCAAGATTCATGCAAAATCACCAAAAAGCAATGGAGTGGAGCTTCAGATGGAAGAGAAGCAGCTCTTGGAAACACCCGTCTTGCTGCCTGATGAGAAGCAGTGGCATGACATCAACGTTTACCTGGGCCTTTCTAACTGCTCTGCTTCCAAACAACCAGGAAAGCCTGAAGGGGACTGCCACGACCCCACAGATACTTCTGAAATCTCATGCTGCACCCAAAATGAAGTCTGTATGGGTGACATTGACCTGTGTGAGTCCAGGTGCTGCCACCCGAGTAACATCATTGTTGAAGCCCCAGGACACATGACTGACATAGAGTGGATGAACATTTTCAAGCCTTCCAAAATGCAAAGGATTGTTCGACACAAAACTTTGTGCACTTGTCCAGGAGGTGTCAGCGGAATGAAATATAATTCCTCAGCAAGGTTAGTGATGTTCATATATGTAAACACAGGTGCATAAGTGACAATGGGCATAGAAAGGGCTGCAGTAGACATTTGTGCCCATGGCTAGCGAGAAAGCACTGTTTGCAAACTGCAGTCATATTTAGGACAAACCTTTCTCTCTCCTTCTCATGACACAGACACTCCAGTCTTTGTACAAGGAGACTCTAGACTCCAATGGAGAGTTTGCACTGAGGGTGGCTTCTGAGGCAGAGGTTTTACTTAAAAATAAAACCAGTTATGAGTTGGGCAACGATGTTTTACTAGAAAACAAACAAGGAGGCCACTGTGCAGAGTGGAGTACTGTTCTGGAGCGTGCCTCACCCCAGGGTCCTCTCCACTTGACAGGCCGACCCTTTCTGTTTGTCCTCATCTGTGATCACTCCACATGTTACATACCCATGTTACCAGGCTCTCTCATTTTCTAAATAAGTGAAAGACACAACATTGGTGTTTAACAAGATGATAAAAGTAACTGATTTCTTTTTTTCATAAGACAATGACTATATGCTAAATTATTCAACTTGGTCTTATTGTTGGAATTGCTGAATCTTGTGGCTACTATTTTTAAGTAAAGCATAGCTCTTCAGAGCACAGAAAGGATGAAAGGATGAAGTTTCTATATTGAGAGTCTTATTTTAGTCATTGCATTGACTTCAACAGGACTTCGTGATTAAAATTTCTAGTACTTACATTATGTAGGGTATTTTTGGGCCCTTTTAAAGAAGTTTGAGTCATTAAAAACCATGCAGATATTCTGCCAAGTGCATTTGCTATACTAAATATCATTAAGTCATTTGATTTTTAAAGATCTTTGGAAAGCTGCAACTATCAGGAGGGCATAGCTGTCTGTTTGTCCCTAGTAAGCAAGATCTTGTGCATGTGTGTGCTGTCAATTGAAATGGGGGCTTTATTCATGCTGGTCAGGGGCTCTGCCACTAAGCTACAGCCTTAAGCCCCGCCCCATAAAACATTATTTATTTATAAGGGGAAAACCTGTATTGGGTGGTCTTGAGAGTACTGTGTGTGTGTGTGTGTGTGTGTACATATATGTTAATGTATAATAATGTATAAATAAATTCAAATTTACATTCAGGGTTTTTCTTCAAGGCCCTTTGACTTCATTAACTTCAGTCATTTAAATACCAGCTTGTTCTGCCAGCTGAGCCACATGCACGAGACAAGTGTGTGATTAAGTAGAAAAGATAGTGGTGTTTTCCTGGTTCCCTCAGGTTACAAGAACCTGTGTGTCCACTTTATTCTCTAGGTGCATGTTCACATTTGTGCCTCTTTCCACTTAACAAGTGAGGTCTCTTTGTGAGGGGAACACGAGCATCTGCTCCTCTGTGTGTTTCCTGAGATCTAGTTCCTACAGGAGAGTAGTCACCTGCCCAGTGCCACTCTGGTTTCACAAACGCATGGGCTTGTGTCAGCTTCACAGTCTAACCTTACACTGTCAAGAGTGCTTACCTCTGCCTTCTGTAGGATGTAGTCCCTAGCACCTTCTTTATTTTTTCACTAAAACTTTGTTTCTTTTGTTTCAGGGGTTGAACCCAGGGCTGAGAATGTTAAGCTTGTGAGCTTGCACCCCTAGGCTCACATACTTAAAAATTAACTACATTTATTTGTTGGTGTGTGTATATCACAATACTTGTGTGGAGTTCAGAGGACAACTTGTAGGAGTTGGTTCTCTCCTACCATATGGGTTCTAGAGACTTGGTGGCAAACAGCTTTACCCATTGAGCTATCTTGGTGGCCCTTTTGTACTTCTAAGGCTTCATTTATTGTTTTTTTGCTTTGTTTTGTTTTTGGTTTTTGGTTTTTTGAGACAGGGTTTCTTTGTATTGTTTTGGAGCCTGTCCTGGAACTCGTAGACCAGGCTGGCCTCGAACTCACAGAGATCTGCCTGCCTCAACCTCCCAAGTGCTGGGATTAAAGGAGTGTGCCACCAACACCCAGCAGCTCATTTATTGTTTGGTTTTTTTCTGTTTTTTTTTTTTTTTTGAGACAGGGTTTCTTTGTGTAACAGCTCTGGCTGTCCTGAAACTTATTTGTAGACCAGGCTGGCCTCAAACTCACAGAGATTCACCTTCCTCTGCTTCCCATGCACCACCACTGGTTGGCCATTTATTGTTTTTTTTTTGAAACAGGGATCCATGTACCTCTGCCTCCTGAGTTCTAGGATCAAAAGTGTGCTCTACCATGCTGAACCTTTCCTCCCCCTTTTTTTTTTTCTTTTTTAAAGGCTTTTTTGAGACGGTTTCTCTGTGTAGCCCTGGCTGTCCTGGAACTCACTCTGTAGATCAGGCTGGCCTCCAACTCAGAGATCTACCCACCTCTGCCTCCCAAGAATAACTCCTTGTTCTTTTTTTTCTTTTTGTTTGTTTTTTTAACTTTCTTTTTTTTATTAATTTATTTTTTACGTTCCAATCCCAGTTTCCCCTCCCTCCTCTCCTCCAGCTCTCTCTACTTCCTCCTCCTCCCATCTGCTCCACGGAAAGGGTAAGGCCTCCTCTAGGAAGTCTACTAAGTCTGTCCCATCATCTAGTTGAGACAAGACCAAGGCACCTCTGCACCCCCACACCCCAGTGTCTAGGCTGCACAAGGCATCTCTCCATTTAGAATGGACTTCACTGAGTCAGTTTGTGTATTAGAGTTAGATCTTGGACCCACTGCCAGTGGCCTCATATATTGTCCCAGTCACACCATTGTCATCTGTATTAAGATAATCTGTTTCAGTCTTATGCAGGTTCCCGATTTGTCAGACCTGAGTCAGTGATCTCTCACTAGCTTGGGTCAGCTGATTCTGTGGGTTTCCCCCTATCATGGTCTTGACTCCTTTGTTCATGTTATCGCTCCTCCCTCACTTTGATTGTACTCCAGGAGCTCTGCCCATTGTTTAGTTGTGGATTTCTGCATCTTCTTCTGTTTCTGGGAGCAGGTTCAAGCTTTCCTGGGATTATGGATTGTAGGCTGGGTATCTTTTGCTTTAAGTCTGGTATCCACTTATGAGTGAATACATACTATATTTGTCTTTCTCGTTTAGGGTTACCTCACTTAGGATTTTTTTTCTAGTTCTGTCCATTTGCCTGTGAATTTCAGAAGGTCATTGTTTCTTACTACTGAGTAGTACTCCATTGTGTAAATATACCACATTTTCTTTATCCATTCTCCAGTTGAGGGTCAATTCTTTGTTCTTGTAGTTACCCTGAATGACGGATTTTAATTTTTTACTTGCAAAAGTATGCATTAATGTATAATATTCTATTCAGATCATATTTCAGAAAACATGTTTAAGCTAGAGATGGTAATGCATGCTTGTTAACCCAGCACTCGGGGCTGTGGTGGAGGAGTGTGAGTTCTAGACCCGCATGGGCTTCTTAACAAATTTGAGGCCATCCTGGGTTACATAGCAAGACCCTGTCACATTCTTTTTTTTCCCTCCCTCCCTTTTTACTTTCTCTTCAGACAGCATTTCACTCTGTCCCCTAGGCTAGCATGTAACTTACTATGTAGCTCAGACTGGCCTCAACTTGTGGTCTGTCAGTCTTCTTGCTTTGTCTTCTTCACTGAATGCTGGGATTATAAATATGAGCAACATGCCTGGTACTTTTTTGTCCTTTTAACATACTTTTAAGTGTATGAGTGACACGTGTGTGGTGCTATTTCTCTTTGGTCTTGCTTGCAGTGAGCTCGTTGCTATCCAGCCTCCTCAGTGTTTGCGGCCCTCAAAGTCTGCTGAAAGAGAAGATGAGTCAGAGGCCCCTCCAGACAAAAGAGCCTCATCCAAGAGTGTGTTCATCAGCAAAGATGCAGCATCATCCAATGAAAAGGTTTATGTTTTACATGAAAGTTCCCAATTTAATCAAGCAGAGTTTCCATGCTTTTATTCTGCTGTAGCACTGTTGCTTAATTTTGGCCATATCTAGGTTTTTACAGCCATGTGCTGTGTGACTGAAACATCTCATACACTGGAGAGATGGTTCAACAGTCAGTAGTACTTGCTGCTGTTGGACAAGAGACCCAGGTTTGATGGCTCACAACCATCTATAAATCCATTTTCAGGAATCCTCTTTTGAACTTCATAGGTATCAAACACACATGTGCATATTCATACAGAAAAATACTCATACATGTAAAATAAAATCATTGAAATGTATTTTTGGGGTTTTGGGGACAGGGGTTGATTTTTGTTTTTTTGAGACAGAGTCTACATAGTCCTAGCTGTCTTGGAACTAGTGTTCTGGAACACTATGTAGACCATACTGACCTCAAACTTATAGAGATCCTCCTGCATCGAGTGCTGGAACTAAAAGCGTGTGCCACCACATCTAGCACCAATTTTATTTTAAATCATAGGCTTTTAGGGTTAATTGAAAATTTTTATTCTTTCAATTCTCTCTCTCTCTCTCTCCCCTTATACTTTCCCTATTGTTTTCTCACTTTCCCCATTGTCTTCTCATCCCTTTTTAGGTGTCTTTCTTTCCTTCCTTCCTTCCTTCTTTCTTTTTTATTTTATTTTTCAAGTCAGGGTTTCTCCGAGTAACCCTGACTGTCCTGAAACTTATTCTGTAGACCAGGATAATAGGTGTTCTGCCCTCCAATAATAAGTTTTTTTCACGAATGCAGTAAGCCAGATCAAGCCAACAGGAGTATTGAGCAGAACAGGGCAGGCTCACTGGTCCCAGAACAGGCCAGAGAAGTCTGGAGCCCAAACTAAGGCAGGGAGATTTTATAGATTGTAGGCAAGGGGTGATAATGCATCCACCATAAGCTGGGTTTGTGCTCAAGCTTGGTAAAAAAAAAAACTGAGCACTTGGGGGGAGGGGGAACTTGGGCAGCAGGAGAGGAAGTTGCTATAGTCACCAAGAGTGTAGAACTGGGCCTTTTTGCCCCTTTCCTTTGTTCAGAGACTCTTAGCAAGCAGGGTTTGGAGAAAGAGAGAGAAAGAGAGAGAGAGAGGGAGGGAGGGAGGGAGAGAGAGAGAGAGAGAGAGAGAGAGAGAGAGAGAGAGAGAGAGAGAGAGAGAGAGAGAGGAGAGAATAGGGGTTCCTGGATAATGCAGGGATGAGTTGAAGGCTCCACCTGAACATAGGCTGGCCTTGAACTCACAGATCCACCTACCTTTGCCTCTCTCCTGGGTGTGTGCCATCACTACCCACTACCCAGCTTACTTTTATTTTCTTAAGTTTTATTTATCAATAGTCTGTCTGTGTGTGATGTGCATGTGTGAGTGCAGGGTGTGCATTCATGAGGAAGTCTGAAGTTAGCCTTCTGATATTGGTTTTGTCTCTCCATTGTGGGTTCCAGAGTTGAACTCAGCCATTTTGCCAATACTCAAGGTTCTATTTATTTATTTATTTGTTTGTTTGTTTTTCAATACAGGGTTTCTCTGTATTGTTTTGGAGTCTGTCCTGGAACTCACTCTGTAGACCAGGCTGGCCTCAAACTCACAGAGATCCTCCTGCCTCTGCCCCCTGAGTGCTGGGATTAAAGGAATGCACCACCAACGCCCGGCTCTCAAGGTTCTTTTTAAAAACTTTTTTCCTTCTTTCAGAAACTGCTGCATTGACTTTTTTTTCAACTTGAAACTCAGCTGCCTGTCCTTAGCCACCCATTCCTTCACATACCCTCTGGTGACAGCCGTTTCCAGAGGATCAAAGGGGACATACTGGTGAACTTAAAGACATGGCTGCAAAAATGGCAGTGTGACACTTTACTACAGGAGAAACGCTCTCACCTTTGTGAGTCCCCAGGAAGCTAGGTTCTGATTGAAATCGCCATTCTACTGATGACAATGGGCAAAGTGATGGAACAGGACGTAGCTTTCTTTACGCTCTTCTCTCTCTCTCTCTCTCTCTCTCTCTCTCTCTCTCTCTCTCTCTCTCTCTCTCTCTCTCTCTCTCTCTCTCTCTCTCTCTCTCTCTCTCTCTCTGTCTCTCTGTCTCTGTGTGTGTGTGTGTGTGTGTGTGTGTGGTGTTGTCTTTCAGTATCTTACTGTAGGATTCAGGAAGTACAGCAAGGATGAAACTCTAATTAAAGGATGTTTATAAATTCTCCCTCTCCTTTTATGTTTTGTGTGTGTGTGTGTGTGTGTGTGTGTGTGTGTGTGTGTGTGTGTTTAGGGTTTTTGTTTGTTTGCTTGATTTTGAGACAAGGTCTCATGAATCCCAGGTGGCTTGCAACCAACTAAGGATGACCTTGAACCTACCTACTTGTTGCCCAAGTGCTGGTGTTCTAGGTATGCACCACACCCTCCTCTTCCTTCTTTCTTCTTTTCCTTTAACAGGGTCTCCCTTTTCAGTGATTGAATTATAGATATGAGCCACCACAACTACATTTTCCTTATTTTTCAAAAGAAAAGTAAACAAGTAAAAGCTAGCCAGGCTTTGATGGTAAACCTTTAATCCAGCACTAGGAAGATAAAAGCAGGCAGATCTCTGAGTTCAAGGCCAGCTTGGTCTATAGAGTGAGTGCCAGGACAGCCAGGCCTACACAGAGAAACCCTATCTCAGAAAAGAAGGGGGTGTTACTGTCTGATTTTAAATAATAAGTGAGAGCAATAAGCTTAGATCCAACAAATAATTTTTAAATCCTTTATTTCCTTTTTTAAATACACAAATTCCATAGGAAGGAAAGAAAAGGAAAACACAGCAGAATTTGTAGTGTACACCTGTACTCCTGACATTGTGGAGTCAGAGGCAGAATGATTGTGAGTCTGAGCTGATCTGGTCTACATAGTGAGTTCTAGGCCAGTATGGTCTACAGAGTGAAATGCTAGTCTCAATAAACCAAAAAGAACTGGTGAGATGGCCACCTCCCTTTACATTTATTTAATTGTGGGGTAAAGACAATCACAGCCAAGCCTGATGAATTGAACCATACACCTGAATCCACTAGGTAGCCTTCGCAAAGTTCTCCTCTGACTTCGTGTCATGGAACATAGCCTACACACACAAAATGAATAAATGTTTTGTTTTTAAATTAAAGGCCATCTAGATGGCTCAGAGAAGGTAAACATGCTTGCCACCAAGCCTGACAACCTAAGTTTGGTTCCTAGAACTTACATGTTGGAAAGAGAACAGACTCTTTTAGCTTGTCCTCTGATCTTCACCCTTAAAAAAAAAATAGCAAGATTAAACTGAAGGTCATCTCTACATACCTTTAGTGCTAGGGTTCTGTTTTGCAATTACTTTGACCTGCTAATATGACTTGATTTTTTAAAAGTTATTTATTTTGTTTTATGTGTATGAGTCCTCTATCTGCTTGTATGACTTTACACCAGAAGAGGGCATCAAAACCTATTATAGATGGTTGTGAGCCACCATATGGTTTCCGGGAATTGAACTTAGAACTTTAGGACCTCTGGAAGAGCAGCCTGTCCTCTAAACCACTGAGCCATGTTTCCAACTCTCCCCCTTTTAAAGACAAAGTCTCACTATGTAGCCCTGGCTGGCCTAGAACTCATTATGTAAACTAGGCTAGCCTTGAACTCACAGAGATCTTCCTGCCTCTGCCTTCTGAGTGCTGGGAGTAAAGGTGTGAGCCACCACCACCTGGCTGGGTTTGAAGTTTTTATTTAAGAAATGTTTAAAAACTTTTGCTTATAATTAGTTCTAGTAGGTTCTGTTTATGTTGCATTATTTCACTGAGTAGATTATAAGAAATAAAAGGAATTTTTAAAAATACTAATGTCTGCTGTTGACTGAGAGTTAACATCTGTGTCTGTAAATTACGATTGTGTAAAAACAAAAATGCACCTTGGCTCACAGTGCTGAACTGCATTGTTTTTTCAGGATGACTTTTCTCCTACCAGTAAACTCCAGCGCCTGCTGGCCGAGTCTCGGCAGATGGTCACGGATCTGGAGCTGAGCACCCTGCTGCCCATCAGCTGTGAGAATCTCAACAGAAGTGTGCGTTCCCCTTTCTTCCTCAGAAAAAATTGTGTGTAGGTGTTTGTGCAGGGAGGGATGTGCATGTTTGCATGTGTATATGTATATGGTGTATGTAGGCTAGAAGACAACCTCAGTGTTGTTGCTCAGGAGCTGTCCACCTTATTGTTTGAGACAAGGTGTCTCATTTGAACCTTGAGCTTGATGATTAAGCTAGTCTGGCTGGCCAGCAAGTCCCAGGGATCCACCTTTTCCACCTCTCCAGCACTGGGATAACAAGAGCATGTACCTACCACATCTGGCTTTTTATTCAGGTGTTGGGGATCAAACTCAGGTCCTCATGCTTGCATGACTAACACTTACTGACTGTTCTATGTCCCTAGCCAGATTCCCTTTTCTTGAGACAGACATTGACAAGGTCTGAATATGGCACTAAGCGGTGGGGCTCAGGGAGTACTGGGAGGTGGCTGTTCTCATAGAATGGAGGTTCAAGGAGAGAGGCAGTGTGCTAAGCATAAAGAGCCATACTGTGGGGCTAGAGAGTAAGACACAACCCAAAACAATCAGTGTCAAAACTGCCTCTGCTTCCTTTGATCTGTGGGGCATCTGAATGCACTTAGTGTTTGCTGTTTTTGTGCTGTTGCAGATGGAGCCTAGGGCTGTATGTAGCAAGTACCTTACCCTTCACCCAGATTCTTGGAGATGTTTTAAAACACACAAAGTTTCAACTTTCTTTATTTTATTTTTTAAAGCAGCAGTCTCCCTATTTAACACTGGCTGTCCTGGAACTATGTAGCCCAGACTAGCCTCAAACTCACAGACTAGCCTCTGCCTCCTGAGTGCTGGAATTAAAACTGTGTGCCACCATTTCCGGCTCCAAATTTTCAAATTTAAAGTGAACATAGGATTTTAAGAACATACAAAAGTAGAAAAAAAACAGTATAATTACTCATCTCTGATAACCACCAAACACCTGCCATTTAAAATTTTATCTTCCTCCTCTGTATACTTTAAATTTTACATTTGTTTACGTTGTGTGTATGTTTGAGACACGGTCTTATCCTTAACCCTGGCTAACCTGGAATTAATATGTAGACCAGGCTGGACTCTCACCTCACTCATGGAGATCTGCCTGCCTCTGCTTCCTTAATTCTGGGATTAAAGGAAAATGCCTGCATGTCTGACATTTCTGTGTGTTTTCCTGTGTGTTTTCCTGTGTGTGTGTGTGTGTGTGTACACGTGTGCATGTACACACACACACACACAAGTGAGAGACAGAGGACTAGAACGTGTGAGGTAGTCAGGACAACTTTGGGGGTTATTTCTCTCCTTCCACCATTGGGCTCTAAGGATCAAACTCAGGACTTCAGGCTTAGCAGCAAGTGCCTTTACCTGCTGAGCCATCTCACTGGATGTCATATGCTTTTCAAACACATTTCAGAGCAAATTTAAGACATAGCTTTTCACTCATAGATACTTGGAGATGCATTTCTTTCAGGTGTGTAATTTCTTTGGAGGGGTGGGGGTAGGTCTTACTATGTGACCAGCCTAGAACTTACCATCCTCCTGTCTCTACCTCCTACATTACAGACATTATGTACATGTGGCACCATACCCAGCAGATGAGGACTTTTTAAAAAACAACCATAATGACATTATGACATGCAAGAAAACCAACTGGGGGCTGGAGAGATGGTTCAGAGGTTAAGAGCACTGACTGCTCTTCCAGAGGTCCTGAGTTCAATTCCCAGCAACTACATGGTGGCTCACAACCATCTACAATGAGATCTGGTACCCTGTCTGGCCTACAGGCATATATGCAAGGAGAATGCTGTATACATAATAAATACATCTTTAAAAAAAGAAAACCAACTGTAAACCAGTGTCCTCTAATGACTATATGTGCTAGCTCTTTCCCACTTAATTGACACATCTGTCTTCTCTTTATTTGGATCAGTATCCAACCAAGGTCTGCCCTTTGCCATTTCCTCCCCTAAAGTCTCTCTAATCATAGTTCATTGTTTCTTTTCCCCTTCTCCCCTTTTCCTCCTCCTCCTCCACTTTTTTCTTTTTTTATGTTTTTGAGACAGGGTCTCTCTATGTAGCCCTGGCTATTCTGGAATTCACAGATCCATCTGTCTCTGCCTCCTGAGCGCTGGTACTACAGGTGTGTGCTATTACTCCTGATTCCCCTTTCATTCTTTATCTTTTTTGTTTGTTTGTTTTGAGGCCAGGATAGAACAGCACTCTGGATTTTACCAGCTCTTCCTTCACTGTACTGTGTGGCACCTTCCTCACCCATAATGCCTTAAACTGCTTTTGGATCTAGGGACTTGACGACACATACCTACCAAACTTCTCCCTAGTCAAAATCTCTCATTCTTTTAGATTTTACACGTTGATTTCTGCTGTTTCTTCTGAGCACAGTAAGATTTCAGTGGCAGTTGTGTAAGCTGCCTTGTAGATTTTATTGCCTCTACCTAAACAGTGTACAGAACACTAGACTTGAGGTCTATTGCCTGATTGTGAAGTAAGAACTCAGAACTTATGCTTCCCATTTCAGATTCAAGGAACATTCCTTGGACATGCTATCTGTGTACTTATAAAGATATTTGAAAGCCATTTAAGTTAAACTGTTTTTGTGTCTCTAATGAAAACTCCAAATAACAACAACTGTACAGGGCTGGAGAGATGTTAAGAGCACTGGCTGCTCTTCAGGAAGGTCCTGAGTTCAATTCCCAGCACCCACATGGTGGCTCATAGCCACCTACAGAGGAATCTGATGCCCTCATCTGGCATAAGGTATACATGCAGATAGAGCACTCATATATATTAAATAAACCTAAGAAAAGAATACTGTACAATACAAAAATTTTCCTTTTTAAATTTGACATTTAAGTATTTTAATATGTATTGATCAATTGATTATGTGGGCAGTTGCAGGTGGCTCTCTCCTACCATGTGGGTTCTGGTGATTGAACTCAGGTCATTAAGCTCAGCAACAAGTTTCTTTACTCCCTGAGTAGTCTCACTGACCCCTGCTGATTCAGATCATGCATGTGTGCCCATGTAGTACCCAGTGAGGAGAGAGTTTCTATTGTATGACTATGCGTGCATGTTGGGGTGCACTTGTGTGCGCAGGTACACATGCATATGTGTGCAAATGCTGATGGAGGTCAGAGGACAATGACCTTGAATGGGAATTGAGAGGAAAGTGCAGGGAAAGGGACTAAGCTGTGGCCTTGGGTGTAGACTGGGAAGATACTGAAGCTGTGCGAGGCTGGTGAAAGCTTGGTTTGAAAGAATTTTGAGTTGGGAAGACCTAGAAGAACTATCTAATCCTAACCCTTCACTCTGTAGATCAGGGAAGGGCATCACATCCTTTACTCAGCATTCCGCAGCCAGGACCAGAAAGTCAGTGAGTTGGAAAAAACAAAAACAAAACACTGGCTCCAAACAGAATATTTTTGGATTAGGGAGATGTTGGGAAACAGAATTTAAACAGCAGAAATGTACTGGGCAACAAGTTTCACACACTCTTTCCCCCATGTCTTTGAACTTGCTAAAGCTAGAAACAGGAAAAGCAAACAGTTTTATAAAAAATTTCTTGTTTTTGGGATGCTCTCTCAGCCTGGACACATGGGGAAGGGCCTAGGTCCTGCCCTGGATGAAATGACAGACTCTGGAGATCCCCCCAAGGAGGGCCTTACCCTCCCTGGGGGAGGATTGGGGATTGGGCTGGGAGGGGTAAGGGTGGGGCTGATGGAAGGAGAAGGGGGGAGCCGGGATACACATTTGAATCGTGCATGTTTCTAATTTAAATAAAAAACATACATAAAAAATTCTTGTTTTTGCAACAAGGAAGCAGGGTAATGTTCTGAGCAGCCAGTCTGCCCCTCTGAGGCGTCATCATCTGCAGCTAGAGACCAGGGTAGTAATTCTGTGGAAGTGATGCTGGGGAGCTCCAAAGGGTCATGCTCCCTCAGGAAACTGCAAGGCTCCTGTCCTTTTGACAAGCAGTGTCACGTTCTGACTTTCCCAGACACTCGTGTATGGGTACAAAATGGCATAATTCCAGGTTTCTCTTTAAGCTTTGCTTAATAGCAGAGTGCACATTTACATAGGACAGGGACTGCTCCCAGCCGGATGCACAGGTACAGACTACACTCCTCCTTGCATGCTCTCATGCTGTATTATTCACTGAATAACAGATACGTGCTACAGCTCATGGGTGGAGGTCAGAGGACAACCTGTAGAAGACAGTCCTCCTTCCACCATGTGGGTTCAGGGTCACAACTCAGGTCATCAAGCTTAGTGGTGGGCACCTTTAACTGCTAAAGGCATCTCACTGGCCCCATTTGTAAATGTTACAACTGTTAACAATGACAATAACAGCAGGACTCTAGTAATGTAAAAGGCAGACAGAAAGAAGGAAAGAGTAAATTGTAGTACTGCTGGCCATACCCAGGGCAACCCCTCACTGCAATTGAGAATGGGGCAACTCAACCCTAGACCATGCTTGGCATTCCAACTAGTACACAGGAATGGACATTCTATTTCTGAGCTTAAGATTTATGCCCGTAGTCCTGAAATTTGGGAGGCTGAGGTTAGAGGATCATGAAATCAAGACTAGCCTGGGCTACCTAGTGAGACCCTGTCTTGTAGCTCGAATTCTAATTGATCTTTAGATATAGGGAAAATACTGAAAGATCAGAAAGAGGGAGGAACAAGCCGCAGCCACTTCTTTTTTTTTTTTTTTGGTTTTTACGAGACAGGGTTTCTCTGTATTGTTTCGGAGGCTATCGGTCCAGCCCGGCCTCGAACTCACAGAGATCCGCCTGCCTCTGCCTCCCGAGTGCTGGGATTAAAGGCGTGCGCCACCACTGCCCGGCACCGCAGCCACTTCTTACCTCACCAACTCCTCAGCTTGAAAAGGGGTGAGCTCCTGTCTCCACCTGCCTTATATTCCTCTCTCTGCCCAGCCATAGCTCTTCCTGTTTCCTCCTCCCTAGTGCTTGGATTACAGGTGTGTGCCACCACTGCCTGGTTTCTATGGTTAACTAGGCTAGCTAGCTCTGCACTCTGATCTCCAGGCAAGCTTTATTTATTAGAGCTCAAACAAACAAACCCCTCAAAAAGTGATCGGACATGAAGACACATACCTTTATCTCAGAGCTCACCAAGTAGGCTAGTCTGTCTATCAGTAATCCACCCACCTCTGTGTCCTCCAGCTCTGGGATTACATGCCCATGCTAACATTCTTGTTTCTCTGTGTAGCCTTGGCTGTCCTGGAACTCACTCCGTAGAACAGGCTGGCCTCAGATTTATAGAGAGCCTTCTGCCTCTGCCTCCCAAGTGCTGGGATTAAAGGAGTGCAGCACCGATCCCCAGCCACACTTGTATTTTTTTAAGATATATTTATTGTTGCTGGGTGAGTTCGAGGCCAGCCTGGTCTACAACACTACACAGAGAAACCCTGTCTTGAAAAAAAAGATATATTTATTGTTATTTTATGTGTATGGGTGTTTTGTTTGTATATATTCTATATCTGTATATCCTGGTCTGCATAGCAAGTTCCAGGAGGGTAGGGCTACAAAAGGCAGCTCCAAAACAAACAAGCAAGCAAACAATAAAATAAAGAAAAATTACACCAGAAATGGTAGTGCACACCTTGAAGCAGGAGAATCTCTGTGAGTTGGAGACCAGGCAGGTCTATATAGCGTTCTAGAACAGCTAGGGCTACATAGAGAGACCCTATCTCAAAAAATAAAGTGTGTGTTGGGGGGGGGGGGGAGCCATTGAGATGGCTGTGTGGGTCTGTGGTTCTTGTGCCTAACCTGACATTCCAAGTTCAGTCCCTGGGAGGCACATGATGAAGTTGAGAACTGATTCTGGCAAGTTGTCTTTTAACCTCCACATCCATGCCATGCCATGCACACAAATAAGTGTAATTTTAAAAAATCTTTAAAAGTGAACAATATTGAGACAGTGGTGGCGAATGCCTTTAATCCCAGCACTCGGGAAGCAGAGGCAGGTGGATCTCTGTGAGTTCAAGGCCATCCTGGTCTACAGAGTGAGTTCCAGGACAGCCTCCAGAGCTACACAGAGAAACCCTGTCTCGAAAAACAAAAAACAAAGAGTTGTCTACTGACCACCACACACATGCCATGCCTTGTTCTTACACGTGCGTGCGTGCGTGCACATGCACACACACCCACGGGGGGGGGAGGGAAGAGAGACAGACAGAGAGAGAGAGAGACAGTGTGGGCACTGCGGCATCTGTGCATAGAGGTAGAGGAGTTTGTTCTCTCCTTCCACTGTAAATTTCAGGTATCCTATTCAGGTTGTCAGGCTTGTTCACCAAGTCCACCTAAGTCTTTGAAAGGCACCCCTGATATATTTGTGTCTAGTAATCTAAAGTGCTTTTTAAATTTCTGTAACCTGGATACTAATTTTGGAGTTGTTTTCTAGAAATTAGAAGTCTCAGAAGAGCCAGATGACAAAAACACCCTTGTCAGTCATTGAAGGAAACAAAGTCAACTTGGACATTCACTGTGGCCATGTGTAGGTCACCTTTGCTTGTCTCACTTAATCTTGAAATTGATATTAATAAGTAACTAAGAATGTTGATAATGTAGAGTCATGGCCACACATTCATCTGACCAATAATTGTTCCTCTTTTGCCTGATCTACTTTTACTATAATTAGCTTGAGTAGAATGTCAATTACTTGTGAGAGAAATACAGATCAAAACATTTTTGTTCTCAATACTTATAATTTTGTATCTAAAGAAGTTGGTATACAAATCCAGCTTTAAAATTTGGGATCTTAGCTGGGCGTTGGTGGTACACACCTTTAATCCCAGCACTTGGGAGGTGAGGCAGGTGGATCTCTGTGAGTTTGAGGCCAGCCTGGTCTACAGAGAGAGTTTCAGGACAGCCAGGGTTACACAGAAAAACAACAATAACAACAAAAAAGCAGGTAGTTGGGCCTGCCGGTACAGTCTATAATTGCTATGGGGAGGCTGATGCAGGCAGGATTACAAGTTCAAGGCATTAATTAGATAAACCTAGTGAGACCCTGCCTCAAAAGGAAAAAAAAGGGGGGGGGGAACCCGAGACCAGACATAGTATACATGATATAAAACACTGGTTATCTTAGCACTCCAGAAGTTGGGAGGACTGAAGCAGAAAGATGTCAGCCTGGGCTGCACTAGTGAGACCCTGACTCAGAAAAAATAATTTTTCAAAAGGCATGTACATTTTCATTTGAGGATTGCTTCTATATGTCTGTCTAGAAAGAATTGTGTGACTTCGAGCTCTGTAAGCCTGTCGCCCAGGAAGCACTTTCATGGGTTCTGTTTGCTTCTGTCAGACCTTCATTCTAAGGGCAGTTCCTCCAGACCACCGGACCGTGGGCATAGGTGCCACAGGTGTTTCTAGTTAAGCACAAGAGCCTTTCCGGTAGGAAGGCAAGAAATCTGAGCAGACCCTGCCTGCCTCCCCCTTCCTCTGCTCTCATTGCTGGGAAGTTTTCTCGTCTATGCTACAGCATGAGACCTTACTGAGGAGAGCCAGGATGTGTAGTCAGGATCTCAGACTCTGGGAACTGTTAGTGCACCACACAGTGCTAATTCCTTCTCATTGTGTTGACTGTTTTTGTTTTCTCTCAGAAGCAGGATTCTCATTGGAAGACAGAAAGCGGATACCATACTTCACCTGAAGACAAAGAGGATTGTGATTCCCGCA